AAAGGTCAGCAATATCAGAAAGCTGGATAATTCCGGAGTAGAAGTTGCACGTGCTTCATGAAGGCCCTCGCGAGTGAGGAACATGTGCAGTGCTCGTCAATGTACCAGAACAGCATCATGTGGTCCTTACTTAGCACCTCCGTGCATCATTTCCAGTGAACTCTTTCTAAATGAGCTTAACCTTCTGTTATTTTTTTTTATTCTGTTTTCAAGTTTACCTTAAGGCTCTTTATTTCCTAAGGATGTTATTTTAATAGTTCCTTTCCTGTAATAAAAAGGCAAAAAAAAGGTACATGGTTATTTGATAGATTTTTCTTTATGGTGTATGTTTGATATATAATATTGACATTAATTTTTTGGAATTTATACTTTTTTCTTGATTACTTCAGTTTCCTTTCCCCTCTGAATCCCTCTCCCTTCCCCTGATTGCCATATTATCAAAATTTACCTCCCTGTTTCCTACCACCTTTCCTTTCCTTTGCTCTTCTTTTGTTTAACATTATGGGCTCAAGATCTATCTGTTTTCCAGCAGATGATACGAATTCATTCTTCTTTAGGACTGGTTAAAATTCCATTTTGTATACATACATTTTCTTTATCCATTTTTCTATTGGTGGAAATACAAGCTGTTTCCAGAGGTTAACTGTCATGAATTTTGCTGCTGTAAACATGACTGTACCACAAAGAGGTACAGCTGAGTCCAACAGAATTTCTGTTTTGTTTTGGGAGGTTTTCTGTCCTGATTCCCATTGTGATTTTAGCCTACATTTCACCAACCATGTAGAAGGGTTCCTTTTCCCTACATCCTGGTCAGCACTTGTTGATTTTTTATTTCTTCATGGTAGCCTTTCTTTTTGGAATAACAAGAAATCTTAGAGTTGTTTTGATTTGCATTTCCCTAATTGCTAAAAACGAACATTTTTATATCCTCATACTTCTTTATGTACTTCTTTAGAGAAGTGCTTTTTTAGAGAAGTGCTTTTTTAGAGAAGTGTCTAATACATTTGCCCACTTTTCTGACTGGTTGATTTATTGCAGGGTATTAATTTTTTTGAGTTCTTTGTGTAGTCTAGATCCGAAGAAAAGCTGGAAAAATTTTCCCCCATTTTTGTGGTTGTCTCTTCATTCTTTTGATTATTTCCTTTGCTATGCTGCAAAGTGGCTACAAGTGTTTCCCCTATGTTATTATCTTCTAGTAGTTTCTAAATTTGTATTTTTATACTAGGTCTTTGATCCATTTCTTATTTGATTTTAGTATAGGGTAAGAGATAAGGGTCTAGTTTTATTGTTTTGCATGTTGATAACCAGTTTTACCAGCAGCATTTATTAAAGAGACTCAGGATTGCTCTGAGTATTCTAGGACTCTTCTGGTTAGGATTTTTTTTTCTAGTATTGTAATAGAAGTTATATTAAACCTATTTATCAGTTTTATAATATGACCATCTTAATGATATTGATTCTGATTATCCAGGGATGCAGACCTTGGCATTATCCACATGGTGTTAGTTTTACAGACATGCAAAATGCAAAAGTTCTGGGATCATAGAGGCTTCTACTCAGACTTCAGAAGGGAAGCTCTGCAGTGTGAAGCTGTAAGAGTGAAGCCAAAAGTGCAGTGGAGACCTCAGGAAGCTGGAGATACTAGGAACACTGAGTGTCTAGCTGAGTCAGTGTCTAGCCGCAGTCAGTGAGCAAAGCCACCACCAAAAATAAGGCCTGTGGGCTGCAACCATCAAGGCCATAGAGATGGAGCTATCCAGGCATTTAGAAGTTTAGTTAAAACTACAGGCTTTAATGTCGGCTGTACGAAATTTTGATCTTGCTTTTGTTCCATCCTTTTCTGTCCCTCTATTTTCCCTTTTAGAATGGGAATGTGCCATCGTGTGTTGGAAGTGTTTAACTTTCTTATTTATTTTTATAGGCACACACAGCTAAGAGTTTCTCTTGAGTCTTAAAAACAACTTTGAACTTGGACCTTTTAGCAATTCTTTAAATGTTAAAATCTTAGCAGTTCTTAGGAATGGACTAACTGGCCATGAGTCTTTTGGGGGCCAGAGGTGGCTTGCTGTGGTTTAGATTGACAGTGTCCCCCAAAAGGCTCACGTGTTCAGAGTTTGGACTTTTGGAGGATGATTATATTATGGAGTGCTACATTCATCAGTGAGTAACCAGTAATAAATTCAGAGTGCATGTATTGCTTGGAAGTGGGGCCTGGTTAAAAGAGGCAGGCCCGAGAGGTGTAACCTAAAAAGGTGTATCTTCTGTCCTGGCTTGTCCCTTCTCTTCCTGGCCACCATGGGTTGAGCACCTTTTCCTTTGCCGTTTTGTTTCTGCTTTGGAGCCAGCTGACCATGGATTAAAACTGTGAGCCAAAATAAACCCTTTCTCTCTCTCTCTCTCTCTCTCTCTCTCTCTCTCTCTCTCTCTCTCTCTCTGTGTGTGTGTGTGTGTGTGTGTGTGTGTGTGTGTATGTATGTGTCTCTGTCTCTCCCTCTATGTCTCTGTCTCAAGGAATCAAACTCGGGACTTTGTGCTTGCCAGGCAGGCACTGTGCCACTGAGCTATAGCCCCACCCCACCCCACCCCGCTTCTTCTTTTTAAATTGTGGGCTTCTGGTATTTTGTTCTAGCAATAGGATGGTGACTAAGGCAATACTTTTGTGTTTTTTTTTTCATGGTTGTAAGCATCTCCCTTTCATTTCTATTTCTAAAAGTACCTGCATTTTTATGTGAGTCTAGGGATGATGAATTTCCCCAGTTTTTGCTTGTATTGGAAAGACATTATTTCTAAAAGATAGTTGCACTAGATATAGTATGTTTGGTTTACAATTTTTTTTTTAGGACTTGGAATACATTGTGTCATTCTCTGTTGGCTTATGTGCTTTTTACTGAGAAATCAGTTCATGTAATAGGAAAAGGAGATTTGCTTTAGTGTGGCTGCTGTTTCTCACTTGCTGTTTTTAGAATTGTTTCTTTTCTTTGACCTTTGATGGTTTGACTGTAATGTACCTTGGACTATAATAATGTGCCTTGAGAAGCCTCCCTTCTCACCTTCTTAGGAAATTTGCCTTGAACCTCCTTGATCTGGATATTCACGGTTTCCTCAAGATTTGTTTCAGCTCTTATTTCATTGAATTATTTTCTACGTCTTTCCTTTTCTTGTCTTCTCAAATACCCATAATGCAAATATTTGTGTGAGTGTTTAGTGGTGTGTTTTTTTTTTTTTGAGGGATTGAATTTACGACTGCGTGCCTGCAAGGCAGGAGCTTATGCCACTGAGCTAAATCCCTGGCCCTAGTGATATAAATTTTGTATTTTCATTTCAGTTGTTTTGTTTGATTCTGCAGGTCTGTTGGTTAGTTGGTTTGTTGTTGTTTTGTTGTGTTTTGGTCTATCTGAGTTATTTCAAAGGTCCTGTCAAAGTCAGAAATTCTCTTTGACTTAAGTCTATTTTTTAGGCTCTCAGCTCTGTTTTTTATTTTACTTTTTGAGTTCTTTAGCTTTACTGTTCTATTTGGTTATTATCTCTTCCTTTACTGAATTTCTCATTCATATTATGAATTATTTTCATAATTTCTGTTACCAGTCTGTTTCTCTTACGTCTGTTTCCTTACAATCATTATTTTGAATTGTGTTTTTAAGGCATCTCATTAATTTTCCTTTCTTTGGTCCTGTCACTAGAGAATTATGGTGTGTTCCTAGGAAGACATAAGGTACCTCGCTTTTTCATGCTTCTCATGTCCTCTGTTGGTATTTGCACATCTGTTGAGCCTATTGTCTAGCAATTTTATACAATGGCTTCATCATAAAAGGCTTTGAACATAAGGTGCTGGTTGATGAAAGGTGTTGGCTTTAACTATATCAGATGGGTATAGTAGTGCTGTCTCTCTCTCTAGCTTCTTGAGCTGTCATCAGCATGCATTGCCTATAGTGGAAAGTTTGCTGATGACCTTGGATGTGGCTCACACATCTGTGAAAGTGGGGTGCCTAACACTTTCCATGCCAACAAGACATGGTTGATATAAAAGTGAAGGCACAGAACTTTCATCAGATTTAGTGGGCTACTCTATCATGCACTGCACAAGAGTGATCCCTCTTAAGTTTCACTGGGCAACAGGGGCCAGAGCAGCTGCAGGAGTTCTAAGCTAGTTGCAAGTAGATTTGGTCCAAAAATAGCATTGTTCAGTACAGCCTGGGTGGGTGCGGGGGGAGTGCACTGTGAATTAAACTCTTTTCTAGGGCAGCCCAGTGGGGCATATTCTTTGGAAACTCCCTGAACCAAGTTCAGGCTCCCTGAGAACCGCATGGTTCCGCAGAAGCAAAATCTGCAGGTGTCTGTGACATCAAGGGGATGGCCAGGACCCTCCCATTTGCCTTTTTCTTGTCTTGGAAGACTGTCCTGTTTCAAGCTGATCCAGACTGGGGTGACACAGCAGTTGGAACACAGAGCCTCATTCCCTTCTCAAGGTTGTTCTGACTCTGTCCCCAGCTTCCCTGCTTCACTCACACGTACTCCGTCAGTCCCCCCCCCGCCCCCCCGAGTATTCTAACTAGAAAGCAGCTAGTATTTTTTTTGTGTGGGATGGAGGCTTCATTGTGGGAGGCAACCATATCTAGTACCTCTCGCCAACCATCTTACATATTTAAGTTTAAGCTTTCTTGGAGCCTCATAGAGGATTATGACTAAAGAGGGAATAAATTAGTGGTGCAGATTATTTCAGACATACAACCTGAATACATGAAAAAAGAATCGAATCTTCTCATGTGTACTTTTAAGATATGGGTCATCATTATGAATTAGGGAAAAGCATTAAATTTCTACATAACTTTTTAAAACAGGTTTAAATGAATATTTAGGTTTTTTAACTCTAAAGATACCTCACTTGATTGTGGTATTAGTTGATAATAATGAGTCATCTTTAATGTCACTTAACCATATTTGTTTTCATATTGATTCATAGTCGTGGTTTTCTTTCAAATTATTTTTCTTTTAAATTGTAGCATGCATACCACAAACTCAGAAAGTAAAGATGAGTATAGAAGTGTACGATCTTCTACATCTAGTCAGGTAAAAAATTAAATCTACATTGTACAATATAATATAAAAATATCATCTTGGGCTGGAGATTTAGCTCAGTGGCATAAGCACCTGCCTGGCAAGTGCAAGGTCACAAGTTCAATCTCCAGTACCAAAAAAAACTCATCTGAAATCTATTTCTAAAATTTACTGTCAGTTTGATTTTTTCTATGTGTTTTATTAAATGTGAAAAATAATAATGTTGAAAGCACTACTTAATGGGACCTAGGAAATGACCAGAAAAAAACAAACAGATGGAAACTGATTACTATAGAGTACTTTGAAAATAAATAGCATAGATTTTAGGAATAAGAAAAATGTGGCTTACTGTTTTCTTGCCATATCCCTGAAAATTCCGTAAAGTAATAGAAGTATAGATACGTCTTTCCAGTATATTTTAAACACTCTTGCTTCTTACTGTTTTATCTGAAAATTTTTCCCAGTCTATGTCCATTTATTTAAAATTCTTAAAATTATAAACCTTAAAATACTGTGATGTTATTCTATATGACTTGTCACAGACGTAATCAAAATTCACCATTATGTTTTTAGTCTCTCCCTACAGTGGTAGAAACTGCAGAAAATGCCTTAATGCCAGAGAGCAGACTGATCATCAAGTTTGAGAGCTTTGGGCTTAAGGAGCCATGTAATTTCTTTTTTACCGGCAGGTGTTGTAACTCCTCTGTCTGCACTGTATTAATGCTAACCATCCCTTCCCTCAGCCTCTCAGCTGCTCGAGACTTTATTACACTTTCCTGTTCTCTTTTCTGTTCTCACATTACCAGCAATCCACTGCATGTGTGCACATCCTCCCATGGTGGCAGCCACAGGGCAGATCTGTTCTCCAGCATGACCAGAATTCAGGGTTTATCGTTGTTGATACCATTGTTTATGTTTCGCTTTTTATACTGGGAGAAGCTTCTCAATATTATCACAAACCAAAAATTTCTTTTTCTCAACCTGCAGTTTCATTATTAGAGTTTCATTTAGAACATTGGAAGATTAAAGAAAACATATATGCTATTTAGATATATTATTTATAAGTACTAGTGGAATATGCTTGAATTTCTGAAGACTTGACCTATACTTTTCTCATTTATATTGTGGTTGCATAATTTATCAAATGAGTCCAAAATTATAAAGTTATATTTCACTTAATTCCCAATTTAGTTGTACTCTGTATTTCAGAAAAGTTTTGGTGATCAAACTGAGGTAGACAGCAGATAAGACAGGTTTATTACTGTGCCCACATTATGCACTCACTTATTCAGTCTACATAAATGTTAAATGAAAACATGTACTCACATGTATTAAAGTCTACATTATGACACCTTGAAAAATGCACTGCCGTGACACCCCAAATACTTACATGTATCCCCCCGTATTGACAAGATGTGGTAGCTTCGTACATTCATAAAAACTTGCGGGAAGGGCAATTCTTAAAATATTTGTTTTACTTCAGACCTTCAGAGATCCTGTTAATGGTTCACGTAAAGGAACTAAGGAAACTGTCTTGTTAAACTCAGAGGAAACCATACCACAGACAAAACAGAGGATATATTTTTCTTGTCCTCCACAAGGACTACTCAATAAAGTAATGACAAATGGTAAGCGAAATCAGAAAATGTGTGTGGTGAATAATAAAAAGCAACAGAGCTGCTGCTTCATCTGTGTAGTTTGGATTATTGGCTTTGTTACAGAAAATAACTAGATAAAGAGAAAATAACTTCATGAATCTTTCAAAACCAAAGCCAAAATATTGCTTAATAGATTTAATCTTCTTTTTTTTGATACTGGGGATCAAACTCAATGACCTCATACTTACCAAGCAAGCGCTTGAACCACTGAGCTAAATCCCCAGCTAGATTTAATCTTTTCTGTGAGTTTTATGTTCAGTTTTTGGGATTGAAAGCAGCACTAAAGATTTTTATTTATATTCACCTAATTCCCTTTGTTTTATCCGTGAGCTTTGGCTCATGAGTTATTACTTGTTATTCTGTGTTCACATTCAGTGGGGCATTGCTTTTGAGACTTTATGTAGTCTGAAACCAGGAGTGTCCATTGACATTTTTTTAATTTTATGAAACAAAAACAAAATTACATAATTAATAAGAGAATACCAATAGTTATTACATTGTATATCATTTTCACCTTGTTACTCAGAGTACAAGACATAAACCAAAAAAAAAAAAGTCTTGTAAGAAAAGAAACTGCTCACTTGGCTAGCACATATACTTTTAAAAAAAAAAAAGATAACAGAAAACTTTCTAAGATAAATTCCTAGAATAAATGAAACCAAGTAGCATATATATTGAAATACTTTTACAACAGTAGAATTTGTATTTTGGGGAAGTATTTGAACTTTGAGATGTGTTAAATTAGTATCAACAAAATAACAAAATGTCATTTAAATAGTTTCATGACAGGCTTTTTTTTTTTTTTGTCTTTTTCTTTTTTATTGGTACCGAGGATCGAACTCTTGACTGCCTGCTTGCAAGGCAGGCGCTTATGCCACTGAGCTAAATCCCCAGCCCCGAGAGGATACTTTTTAGCTAGGTTTAGGACATTGGATATTCCTAACCCATGCAAATCATGTAAGTTTGAGCCCTAAAGATAAATCAGATGAGGCTTAATTTATATATAAATTTTTAAAAGGCCTAGGATGTAGCTCAGTGATAGAGTGCTTCAGAGCCCTAGATTCAATCCCTAATATTGAATTTTTAAAAACTAGTTTATCATATAAAACTTGTCATATAAAAATGGGATACTTATGTAGAAATTTAAGCAATATTTTCTTTCTTTTTTTTTTTTTTTTTTTTTTTTTGGTACCAGGGCTCGAAGTCACAGCCTTGCACTTGCCAGGGCAGGCACTTAATGCTGCTAAGCTAAACCCTCGTTTCAAGCAAGTTTTTCGATGCCATATTAGTTAGCAATATTCACCTACAGTATAATTATATAGAACTAGATGTTGATATATTTAATAAAACAATTCATCTTTTGTTGGTTTACACTTATGTTTATGTAAATATATAGATGTATTTTTTTATATTTCAGGAATTATATTATTTATGAGTTGGTGTTTACTATTGGTATTCTTAGGCAATGAAGTTCTTCCTAATGGAAGTTTATTTGGACTAGTAATTATTTTTTATAGTGCCTGTGTTGGGGGGATCCTTTTGCAACTCATTAGAATACCTCCAGTGCCCCCACTTCCACCGCTTCTTGGTAAGTATAGAATAAGCTCTTTTCTTTGTTGTTGACTGTTTGTATAGTTTGAACTGTTTCCAGTTGTAATAAATATAGTTCAGAAATATTTTAATTTAATATGGTTTCTTTGTATATGCATTAGTGCATATGTTATGTAGCTTTTTATGGCTGTATTCTCTTTGTATATATGGATTTTTAAAAACTTTTAAAATAACTTAAATATATGCAATACATGATTCTTGTTGCTTTATTATTGAATAAGACATATTTACTTAATTTTAAATTTATTGCAAAAAAGAAAAATTTAGGACTGAGTTTTGTATAGATCACATAACTTGAATACTATGGCAAGATTCATATATTATAGTGACTAATGGATTGACCCGTAAGGATGTTTGTGCATCTTTATTTTATATATTCACTATGTACTGGCTCACCTGCATGACACACTGTTCCTTATCATCATTATCTTATAGGAAAATTAATGGAGGAACTTTTATCTGAGGTATTATTTTAGTTACTTTTTTCTCCTTGCTGGAACAAAACACCTGACACCCAAAGTTAAAGGAGGAAAGGTTTATTTAGCTCACAGTTTGAAAGGTTTCAGTCCATAATCAGCTGGGTCCAAGGCAGGGTGGCATGGTGAGGGGCAACAGTTCATGTTGGTGGAAGACAGAAAAACCAGTAAAAGCAAAAGAGGAGAGAAATCTTTTCCATGCCCTCCTCTTGCACAGGATGAGGATGTTTACAAAGTTAGGACCCTGGTCCTCTGGTGTGAATCAACTATTACAACATCATGAAGCCTGAACATCTGCTCTAGGGCATGCCCTCTACACCCTCGGATGTGGAACTGCCGAGTCACTTAATTAAGCTTCTCAAGCAGACACAAAGAATCAATCATCACAGGTGTCCTTTATATTTTAAGTAACAGCTGAGTTATATACTGTACCATATTTGAATGTTTGTTCTTTTCATCCTTCATTCATGCTGCTTCCTCTGCTTGTACTCCTATGTAAGTTGTCCTTGTTTTTCTTCTCTCACAAAAATAAAACATGGTTTCTTTTCTTTTTTTTATTTTTTATTTTTAAGGGATGTTACTGGCTGGTTTTATCATAAGGAATATTCCATCCATCGCTAAACATGTCAAAGTCCCTACGTGGTGGTCTTCAACTCTAAGAAGCACTGCCCTTACCGTCATCCTAATTCGAGCAGGGCTTGGACTCGATCCAAAGGTAGACTTCCCTTCATATCTTGAGCTCTTTCAAACAGCAGAGGCTGGTGGGAAAGAAAAGAGGCAAAATGTTTGTTCTGGCTGTTCTAAGTGGGGTCCATAAGCAAAACCAAGAACAAAGACTGCAGAGATATTGGTACCTTACTTTTTGTGTCTAGTTGTCATTGTTACTTGAAGAGAAGTTGCTGTGATTTAAAGTGTCTATTTGTGATCATCTTTCACCTTTGCATAGAGCTCAGTGTCCCTCATACACCTGTATTGTTTGAGAGGCTCTTTTATGGAGACTGTTTCCTTTTCAGTTAGCAAAGTATAGTCTCTCCGTCTCTCTCTCTCCTTCCCTCCCCTTCCCTCCGCTCCCCTCTCTTCCCTCTCCGCCTCCCTCTGTATGTGTATATCTGTATCCTTCTTCCTCTTCTCCCCTCTTCCTCCTCCTTTCTCCGTCTTCTTCTGTATCTCCTTCTGCTCTTCTTCCTCTTCTTCCTTATTCTTTTTTCTTTCTTTCTTTCTTTCTTTCTTTCTTTCTTTCTTTCTTTCTTTCTGTTTCAATACTAGAGATCAAACTCAGAGGTGCTGTACTGCAGAGCTACATCCCCAGCCTTTTTTCTTTATTAAATTTTGAGACAGGATCTCACTAAGTTACCCAGGCAGCACTTGAATTTTTGATTCTCTGGCCTTGGACTCCCTGAATGCTAGGATTATAGTGGTATGTGCCATTACACCTGACTAAAAGTCAATATTTTCCTTCCTTTTTTATTCTTAATTTTTAGGAGAAATTGAAAAGTTTCTTAATTTTTTCTCCATGGAATTATGTTCTTGATTATGTTTGCATTATTCTAAGAGCTATTTTTAAAGTATTTCTTGTCTAGCATCAAAATCAGGAAAAAAATGTTTCTTAAAGCATTACAATCTAGGGATCAAAACTCTATTGGACTTTTAAGAAGATGAGTGTTTATGAATATAACAGCTATGCAAGAAAATGCAGCAAATATGTGGATTTGATGGAAATATCATCCTGAGAGTACGCATAGTTACAGCTAGCAATAATTTATATTTTTGGATAGAAAATTTCAGTCACTGAGAAACTGAAAAGTCATCCCTTCCAATAATACAATTGTGAGTTATTTTCTTTTTTGGTATATTGGTACTTACAAGTATTAAGTTAATGAACCATTAATTGCTAAAAGTTAATTTATAAGAAAGTGAACCTATAGGATATTTTCACTATACTATGTATAAGAAAAATTTTAAAATAGTTACTTAATCCTACAGAAGTGAATCTTCTTAAATAATTATAACAGTATTTTACAAAGTGTGAAATTGTAAGCCATTCTGTGTATATAAAGTGAATTCTGTGGCCACATGAGACTCGGCTTAGCAAAAGCGGATACTCAAGAGGCCGTGTTTCAGTGTGTGCGGAGGTGGTTTCCTGCTGTGTGTGACTGACTCTGTGTCCGCAGGTCCTGCAGCAGATGAAGACTGTCTGCTTCCGGCTATCTTTTGGTCCGTGCCTCGTAGAGGCGTGCAGCGCTGCTGTCTTCTCCCACTTCATCATGGATTTCCCTTGGCAGTGGGGCTTTCTATTAGGGTAATTATTTTTGCTTTTTTTCATTTTGTCATTTTGAAACTATACAGTTAATGAGGAAACAGTTCTTCACTAACATTCTTTTCACAGTGGTGGGAGACCTTGGAAATTAGTTGATTAAAAGCCAAGCCATGTCCCGAGTCTCCCACAGCCTTGACAAGCATTCCCAGCCCCTCAGTCTGCAGTGCTCAGCTTGCTCCTTCTCTTCTGTGTTGCAATGTATGCGTACGTCTTATCCTGCAAACGGTCCCTTCCTTGGTCACAGGGTGGATGTGTGAAGATACAGAAGAGTTTTAATATAGAGATATATAAATAGAAACTTATTTAAAAGAAAATAAGCAAAGAAAAACTTCTTTCCCTCCAGTCAAAGCCCCAACTGTATTTCCCACCATCATTTTCCTTATGTCCAAATTCCTAACAGGAATCTGTAATCACTATCTCTAGACAGGAAGTTCTTTTCGTTTTCAGTTAACTTTTGCCTCTACTTGTCCTTTCCTGTGAAGTTTGTAGCAAGTTCACCCACTGCATATGTATTGCCATAGCCAATAGATTTTAAATTAACTTTTGTTGTACATTACTCAAATGTATTACTTCTGATGGGTTGAACCCAGAGCTGCACCTTGGCACCTCCAACCCTGAGTTGACCTTGTGAAAGAGCAGGACTTTACAGATGCAGGTGATTCCTCTTATCACACCTCCAGTGGGAGCACTCTAGGACATCCACAGCCTCTTCCACACAGGTATAGATTTCAGTGTCGCAGTTTTAGAGAATGCAGAGTGGCATCCTGTCATGGATTTGACATACATTTCCCTAATAATCGTGGACACTGAGCTCTTTTCTGTATGCTTTGATGAAGTGCCACTTCAAATAGTTTACCAGTTTTTAAAATTGAGTTCTTAGGAGTTTTAACTATATTCTAGACCCGAGGCTTTTGTCCAGCATATGTATTACATTCTTTTATATTTTTTTTTGTACCAGGAATTAAACTCATGACCTCATGCTTGCCAGGCAAGTGCTGTGGTATCCCTGGCCTCATGATTATTCTTCAAACATGTCACTTGGCTTTTGGGGGGGGGGGAGGGCAAGAAGCATAAGAACTTTTAAGCCAAAAATAATACAAAATGAGCCAGTATAACACAGCTCATCTTAAAATCTTTGTGGCTATCCTGTTGTCCTCAAATGTTATTCTAGTTTTGTACCATATTCACCTGGCTTATTTATTCCTTTGTTTATCCATGTATTTAGTGTTTGTCTCAATTACTTTCCTTGGTGTTTGTTTGTTTTTATTTTTGTTTTGTTTTGTACTGGGAATCAAACTCAGAACCTCACACTTGCCAGGCAGGTGCTAAACTATATTCCCAGCTGAGTTACTTTTCTTGTTGCTGAGACAAAATACCTCATACCCAGAGTTAATGGAGGAAATGTTTACTTCAGTTTGTAGAGGCCATAATCAGCTAGTTCCAGGGCAAGGTCGATTTGCAGAGAGAACAGTATACGCCAGTCAAAAAGTAGAAAAGCAACAAGGAACCTTAACAGAACCTTTATGACCTTTTTATGCACTGTCTAGGCTACTGGATTAGGGCAGTGCCAATCTAATCAGTGGACTGATTTAGAAATCACATCCTTAATCCCAGCACGGCACCATGAATCTGTCCCACACTCTAATCCAGCCACTTCTGAAAAAGCTCCGTCTATGACCACCTGAGGCTCTGGGGAGACCTCTAGACACAAACCATAACAGTGGCTAAACCAGCCAGCATTTATTTCTCACAGTCTGGAGGCTAGAGGGTCAAGATCAAAACACTGGCAGCTTTGGTTTCTCCTGAGTTCTCTGCTTGGCCTATAGGTGGCCACTTTGTAGCTGTGTCCTCTTTGGTCTGTTCTCTCATGGGCATTTCTGTCCTTAGAGACATTCTAGTCCATTTTGGATAGGGCCTCACTCTGATGACCTGATTATTAATTGGTTTCTTTTTTAGTGCAGTAGTAGAGATTGAACCTAGTGTCTCATGCATACTAGGCAAGTACTCTACCACTCAGCTACATCCACAGCTTTTTAAATTCTATTTTGAAAGAAGATCTCACTAAGTCAATTAGGGTAGCCAAATTTACAGTCCTATTGCCTCAGCCTTTTCAGTAGCTTGGATTACAGGCTTGGGCTACCATGTCCAAATCAGTTCTTTTAAGGTTGTATCATCAAATATTGTCCTATTGATGGTGACTTTCCACATTGGACTTGATGATGAGACACCATCAGCTTTTAACCCAGGGAACTTCCCTTCCTATTTTTTTCACAGTTCATTTTTCTGTCCCTTAAATAGAGTAATGATTTAGGGCCTGGAATGAGGCTTTGGGTTTTTGTTTGTTTGTTTTTGTTTTTCCTCATTCTGGCCCTCACTTTTCTATTACATTCTAATAACTGCAGGTTCTGCCTACAAAGTGTGTGTGTGTGTGTGTGTGTGTGTGTGTGTGTGTGTGTGTGTGTGTATGAATGATTCAAGTCTACTGTGTTCTGCTAGCATAGGAAATATAGAAGAAATTCTACAAGTAGTAATATCCCATCAAAGCAGGTGACCAAATTCCATGAAGAAAGTGTGGAAGTCCTAGCCTCAGAATCTAAAACTGTTAATGTAAAATTTCATTAGTGTTTCATTTTATATCTCATTACACAGTAGTCATTGAGATTTTTGAGGATTTCCTGTGTGCCAACAGGTTTGTGTTATATGTAGCTCAGTGTACTGCAGGATGATATCTTATTTGCTTTCTAAGAGATACAGTATCTGACACCCACAACTCTAAGGAGAGGTTTATTTTGGCTCACAGTTTGTAGAGGTTTCAGTCCATAGTTAGCTGGCTCCAAAAAGGGCAGCATAGCAAGGGGAAACAGCCCATGGCATGGTGGAGAGAAGCAGAGAATAATCAAGGTAAAGGAAGGGAGATAGACCTGACAGCCACATGCCCAGCGACCTGCCTCCTCCAATCAGGCTTTACCTCCCAACATGCTATTCAGCTATACATGCTGATGAGTACCACATCCCTGTGATTCATTTACTTCCCCAAGGCCCCACCTACTCTAGGTCTAAACCCTAACAGATGGAGACAGGCATTCTTTACTAGGGTAAGCAATGTTTTTTTGTACTTGTTTGTCAAAAGGTTCTGTTTTCATTTTTTTGTAAATTTCATACAATTTAATCCTTTTAATGTAATAGTATAAAATTAATATTGGCAATTTCCTAATATAGAATCATCCATGTATCACTTGTGTGGCATGAGCCACCACACCTGGCTCTTTTATTCTATTTTTTTTGTACCAAGGATCAAACTCATGGCCTTGTGCTTGCTAGGCAGGCACTCATGCCACTGAGCTAAATCTCCGGTCCTTATTCTTTTAATAAATAGATTCAATGTGTTTATATTTAGGATTTTATCATTAATATTATAAATGAGATTGAATTGTGACTGTTTTTCTTATGGCTTTGTCATGTTTAATATATTCTGTCACTGCCTCAAAACTCTTCATGTTAACAGCATATATCATTTTAATGCTGGTTTAATAATATCACTTTTCTTTTTTATCTTAGCTTTCTTTTTTTCCTTTTAAAATCAAGAAAAATATAGGCAATACCAAGATACTTGAATAATTTGTATCTTTCTTCCATCAACTTCTTTTTTTGTACTGGGGATTGAACTCACAACCTCAGGCTTGCCAGGCAGTCACTTAAGCCACTGAGCCCCAGCCTGTCTCTATCCTCTTATTGGAGTACATTCAACAAAATTATTGCCAATCTGGATCTTTGTGTGACAAATTGTTTTGTCACTTTCCTGCCCCTGAGACAAAACAGTCAACACCCACAATTTAAGGAAGAAAGGTTTATTTTTGTCCATGGTTTCAGAGGCTTCAGGGCATGTGTGGTCTGCTGAGTCAGGGGCAGAGATGGCCTGTTGGAAGGGTGGAGAAAAGGTGCTCACTTACCCCCATGGCATCTGGGAAGCAAAGAGCAAGAAAGAACCACACAGAGACAGATAAGCCTTGAAAGGCATGCCTCCAGCGAGGTACCTCCTCCCAGAGGACCCCACCTCCTGACAGCACATCCAGCCATGAGCTCATTCATGGATGAATCCATTTCGAAGGTTAGCATCACTGTGATCTAATCATCTTCCAAAGCCCCACCTCTGAACACATGAGTCTGCAGGAGGACATTTTTATTCAAGCCATAACACTTGCCTATATTCAGTTATTTTTTTTTTTGTCTTTTTCCTTTTTATGGGTACCAGGGATCGAACTCACGACTGCCTGTTTGCAAGGCAGGCGCTTATGCCGCTGAGCTAAATCCCCAGCCCCCGCTAAATCCCCAGCCCCCTATATTCAGTTATTAATACAGTTTATCTTTAAATTACTTTAGCTTTGTTACTTTAGATTTTCTACATGTACAGCCATGTCACCTATAGATAATGAGAGCTTTACTGCTTCCTTTGCAAATGCATGGCATGCATTCTTCTTTCCTTACAGTAGTGGTGGTAATCTTCCTTAAGTTCATTGGAAGTAGCTAGCCAGGTACAGAGGTGCCCCAGCATTTGGGAAGCTGAAGCAAGAGGATTGCAAGGGTGAGGCCAGCTTGGGCTACATATGGAGTTCAAGGCCAACTTGAACTCCATCAACATCGAGCTCTTGATGAGAGAGAGGGGACAGAAAAAGGGAGCTGTGATAGCAGATATCTTTTATAGCAACCTTTGGTGATTGTCCTGAGCCTTTATTTTTCAGAAAGTTTTTTTTAGCTGCCTCTTATTAGATTAAGGAAGTACTCCCTCTGAAGTTTTCTAAAAAATGTGTATAATAAATGAATGCAGGATTTCATGAGTTTTTTTGCTTCTATTATGATACAAAGTTTCTGCTTTATTATAGTGAGTGCTGTTGATTGATTTTTCCAATGTAAACTGAGCTCCCATTCATGAATCAAACCAAATTTAGTGATCATCTACATTTTCAACTGCCCTGCACTACTTTATATTTATATATGTGCAGAATTTCGGAGCTGAAGAAACAATAACCAAATGTAAAAATTCTCCATAGCAGACTAAACCAAGCAGAAGAATTGGTGAATCTGAACACAGATCATTTGAAATTACCAAGTCAGAGGAACAAAAAGAGCACCTCAAGGATTTATAGAATGCTGCAAAGCATTAGAAAGCTATAATAATAAAAAGTGTGATAATGGCATAAAGACAGACACTGGAATCAGTGGAACAAAATACAGAGCCAGTCATAAACCCCCACATATATGGTCAGCAGATCTTTGACAAAGGCCAATATCACACACTTGAGAAAGGACACTGGAGGTAACATTGGGCATCCACATGCAAAAGAATGAAGTTGGGAAAAGCTTTGTGGACTGAATTTGGTAATGATATCTTATATATGACAACAAAAGCACAGGCAACAAAAGCAAACATAGACAACAAGGATTATATCAAACTAAAACATTCATACAGCAAAGGAAGTAATGAAAAGGTAACTTTTGTAATGGGAAAAATAATTATAAGCTAAAAATTAGTAACTATAATATATGAAGAATTCCTACAACTCAATAACATCAAAAATTCCCTAACTAAATTGGACAAGTTGCCGGGCACGACTGTGCACACTCTAATTCCAGCACTTAGGAGGCTGAGGCAGGAGGATTGTTGCAAGTTTGAGACCAGCCTGGGATACAAAATGAGCTCAGACCAGCCTGAACTGCAAAGTGAGAAACCTGAGTAGACATTTCTCCAAAGAAGATATACAAATAGCCAATGAGTACGTGAAAAATGTTCAGCATCTGTAATCACAAAAAATGCAAATCAAAAAGAAAAGATATCAGGGGCTGGGGATTTAGCTCAGCGGCATAAGTGCCTGCCTTGCAAGTGTGTGGTCGTGAGTTCAATCCCCGGTACCAATGGAAAAAAAAAAAAAAGACAAGAAATCCTGTCATAAATGACAGCATGGATGGGACATTATGCCAGTTGAAATAAGCCAGCCACAAAATGTCAAATACTGTATGATTTGACTTATGTATACCACTGAGAGTAGTCAGGAATGCAGAAATAGAAAGTAGAGAAGTTCTTTCCAGGGAGAGAATGCTTTCCTGGTGCATGACGCTCAGCCCCTAAGATCACATCCTGTGATCCTTGCTTTCCTACATTTATACTTTGCTGTAAGACCCTATTTCTCAAGCACAGAATAGACCTGCCAACTTCTAATGAAGAGAATACAGATGAAGTAATGGGATGGCACGAAGACTGGCTTCTGCCTTGCATTCCCTTTGGTTGTTGGTCCCAGGAGACGCTAGCTGGGGTAGCTTTGTGGAGAAGAGACCAAAGCCCAGTGCCAGTCTTGTGAGTAAACTTGAAAACTGGCTTTCTCCGACCCATCTCATGAGAGATCTTGAGTCTAAGGCATACAGCTAAGCTGTAACCTAGATTCCTAACCCAGAGAAAAAGTGACACAGTGTTTGATAATTTGTTAAGCAAAAAAGAAATAATAGGTGATTCCAGTGCACAGCACCAAAGCACACTGAACTTGGCAAATCCACGGTTTCTGAGAAATCTTTTCTGGCAGCCACAGGGGACGATGGAGCATAAACTGCCTCAAAGCAGCGAGGAGATTCTACTCACAGACCTGAGGGCTCCCACTAGTGGGAGCTCTGGTGGTGCCTAAGATGATGGTCAAACATAGCAGCCCAGCAGGCACCTCAAGAACCTGCAGGCAGTAGGGGGTGTAGCCAGCACACAGTGGCTCAGACAGATGTGCATCGGCCTGGCAGGGCACTGGGGCTCCTCTACACTGGGCACAGGTGAGCCTTTACCATGGCCATGTGAAACAGACTCAAGATGGTAGACAGGGGCACTTGCTTGTTGAGGTGGGCTCCCTGGGAAGCATGAAACTCAGCAGCAGAGAGACAGTAGATGGGGTCCACAGAGTGTGGACAACAGATGATAGGGACAGACTGTGCCAACCTGGGCACGTGACCCAGAAGCAGGGCCGGGAACACCCATCAGCAGGGGTGTAGGTGAGAGTGACCCAGAGAGCCCCACAAACACAGCATGGAAACAAGCCCTAGGTCTGCATAGCGAGCTGCTCTGGAGAAGTGGTTCCTGCTTGTTCTCCTGGGTAAGTGAGAGCCATCCAGAGAGTGCCCTGTGTCTGAGCATCAGTTTCAGGAGTCAGAAGCCCTTACTGGTGCTGTGTATGCTGCGCCTGGAGAACATACAACTCCAGTAGGCCCCACATCCCATTAGCCCGGCCCCAGCACAGGACTTCGTGAGGCCCTGGCTGCTTCCTCCCTGCACGGTGTTTGGTGACATGCCATGGTGCCAACTCTTGCCCTGCTTGTGGAGCATGTTGTCTGGAAAGCTCCAGAGGGACTCTTCTGTGTGCTCTGTCTCATGCTAGCTCACGTCAGTATGCAGAGCTGCTGAGAAGTTCAACAGTCTTCAGCCACCATCACTCCTGCGAGGCTCCTGGCGGCCACCACAGCAGAAGTAGGCTTGAGTGACCTTAGCTCTGTCTGCAGGGCACACAGCCTAGAAGGACCCTGAGAGACGCTCACTAGCAACGCTCATGTTCATCCCTCCTTCCCTCTCAGTCAAGCATCTCAGCAGTGCGGGAGAACTTTTTTTTTTCTCTAATTTTTTTCTTTTTACATTTCTTTTTTATCCTTTTATTTCATCCTGTATTCCCTCTTTTCTTTTCTGTTATATTTAGAGGAATGTTGTGAAAGGTGTTTAATTACTAGTTTACTAATGCTGAAATTACCTGCAGTATTTGAAATTCAGTCTTCTGTATTATTGAAGCATTAAAATATCTCTTAGGCTGAGAAATAATATACAGGGACCAGGCTCAGCAGTATGGCCTGTAGTCCCAGCTATCTGGAAAGCTAAGGCAGAGGACTTTTTGTTTGTAAATCATCTTACATATTGTTTTGTGGTGTGGTGTGACTCTGACTCTGTGCATGTCAGGTGGGTACTTTGCCACCAAGCAACACTCCCAGCCCAGCTACAGGAAACGCACCAGGCTCCAGATGTGGTCCAGTTGCACCCTAACCATGCCAGATGCCTCAACTTGATAGGCATCAGGGAGCCAGGGACCCTTCCCCACCTGGCACAGCTAGAAGGGGCCTTCCATCCCATTCCTTGGCAAGCTACTAAAGAGGTAGGAGTGCTGCAGAAGAGGCCATGCTAACAGTGGCACTGGGGTGACCACCCTCTTGGTTCTCCAGGCAATCTCTCCCCACCACCTCCCCTTTCTGGGCATGGAGCACTTGCTGCATCTTTGGTATGAATTTTTTTTTTTAGTTTATGGTTTCCTTTTTAAATCTTAAACTGTCTATATTTCATCATTGGAAACACATTTCAATTTTTGTCTAGGGTTTTCCTTTTATTTCCTAGTCAAGTTATAGAATTTTCAATTATTTTTCTATTTTTATTTCAAAGGATTTAAGGAAAGGAGAAGGATTTAGTGAAATTTGTGCTCATTCCCTCATCTTGACCCACAAGTCTGTAAATTGTAGCCAGCACTAAAGAATGCATGGGAAGCTTTGTCACCATTGAACGCTTTCACTCGAAAGCAGAACTTCTGGATGTGGAATTGTTAAAATGGTAAGGACATCCATCAGTAGTAAAGCTCACAGCACAGCAGTGGTGACGAAGCTCTTTCTTCAGCTTTGTGCTAGGTGCTGTCTCTCCTGCGGTTGTGGTCCCATCCATGCTGCGCCTGCAGGAGGCAGGATATGGTGCAGAGAAGGGCATCCCCACCCTGCTGGTTGCCGCCAGCAGTATGGACGACATCGTGGCTATCACGGGGTTCAACACATTCTTAAACCTCATCTTCTCCAAAGGTGAGCAAGAGATTCCGAACTACCATATCATTTGTGACCTTTGTAGCTCTTCAAGCAAGATTTGAACCAAGACTTTTCAGCTTCACAATTTTTTATTCTTTACAGAAAGCTCATCCCAGGCTAACAAAGAAATTTCAATGGGTTTTAAAAAATTGACTTTAATAGAAAACGTTTTGATTTATTTGGTAATCCATATCATTAGTGTTTATCTGTCATAGTGCTTTGAGATTTTATCACAGTTTTCACCAAGAAAATCTTGGGCTGGGGGGTTAGCTCAGTGGTGTAAATGCCTGCTTGGCAAATGTGAGGTCATGAGTTCAGTCCCTGGTACCCAAAAAAAAAAAAAAAAAAAGAATATGAATTCTTGTTTTGCAGAGGATTTAGCTCAGCAGCATACAGGCCTGCCTGGCAAGCATTAGGTTGTGGGTTCAATCCTCGGTACCAAAAAAAGAAAAAGAAAAAGAAAATCTCGAGAATTAATATTATTAGTACTACTAATATTTTAATAGGTTTTTTTTTTAATGTACAGGAAATCAAACTCATGACCGCCCACTTGCAAGGCAGGTGCTTATGCCACTGAGCTAAATCCCCAGCCCAGCCTGGCCCTTTCATAGGCCTTTTGTAGTGTTCTTTTTGGCCATCCTAACAAATAACTGGTTGCTCTACATTAAGACAATATAAACGCACCAAGTGGGGATGTCCTATGCACCTCTTTTGAGAAGTAGTAGGACAAGATCTAGCACACTCGTTTGATTCTCAGGTGCAACCTGGTCTTGAAGACATGAAAAAGTAGGTGTTTCCACATTTACTAATGCTTTAATTATCTACAGTGTTCGAAATTCAGTCTTCTGTATTATTGAAGCATTAAATATCTTTTAGGTTGAGAAATAATATATAAGGGCCGGGGTATAGTACCCACTATCCGGGAAACTAAGGCAGAAGGATTGCTTGATCCAGAGAGCCAACCTGGGCAACGTCATGAAACTCTGCTTTTAAATGATGATAGACAATAAAATAGATATATAGGTAGGCAAGCAGATGATACAAATAAAATCTGCAATAGTCACACCCAAAAATAATTTTTTCCTTCTGAACCTTAGGATGTAAGTTCGCCCCGATTCTCTTTTCCTTTATTCTTCTCCTATTCTCTCCTGTTACTTTATTCTTTCCCAATGTTTGTATAAAGATGACTGAACACTGACTATGCTTTTTTGCAACCTGAGTTATTGTTTTGTACTTTATTATTGCAAACATATTTCTACTCATGTAAAATATAGAAGATATATTTCTGTATCTTTTTAAATTTTTTTATTTTAAAGAGAATAAAATAAAAAGTATAAAAGATACAGGACTTCAAAACACTACAAAATCATAATAGTTACCATAATGCCTTTTGATGTCTTCAAAATAGCTGCAGTTAACTTCAGATATAGTGAAAATCAAACAGCAGAGTAGAATAGAAACAATAAAAACAAAACAATGAATACAAGACAATGAATGAATAAAGGACTTCAAAACAAGCCTATAGTAAATCCAAAGTTGCTATTATATCTTGCTGTCTTTGAAATTGCTGCCATTGGATTGACACAATCAAACAAAACAAAAGAGAATAAAACCCAACCTAACAAAACAATGGGAACAGTCTAGGACTTCCAAAACAAGATTGTAGGGAATCAACAATGGCTGCAACTCTCAGAAGGAGATTCCCCTCTAGAAGTCCTACTACTGCCCTCTGAACCTATGATCAGACCACTGGCCCTAGACCTGCAATGTTAGTGAAACACCAAAGCATCACAGGCATCCAATTGCATTTCAGCTCCATAGCTATCATGACAGCATGTGTTTCTTCGGATAAGCCAGTCGCTTACAGCAGCAATGGGGGGAAGGGGGGTTGGTACTTGTTTGCCAGCCTGCGCACCAGAATGGGCTAGGGTCTGTCTGTTCCAGTCTGGTAGCCCACGCATAGCACTGGTTCCCAGACTGGGCTTGCTTGCTGGTATGGCTTTGTTCTCTCTACTGGTTTGCAAATGGCCTATTTCTATATCTTTTTTTTTTTTTTCACTGTGTTGTCAAGGCAAACCTCAAAGGCATAGCTCTTCTCCTTTAGTCTCCAGAATAGCTGGGACTATATCACCTGCCACTGTGTCTGACATCTATGTCATTTGCAGTGGCTACATAACAGTGGTCTGCATAAGAATCACTTTGTTCAAAATTGAAGCTGACCTCCATATTTGCTATGAACATAGTGTTTAGTTAAACATCTTACAGAGATGTTTATACCTAATCTTAATGCTTTCTTAAAAGTTGAATGGTTGATCTCAAAACTATATACAGTTATAAGCTTTTTCAACCATATATCTCATATGTCACCAAATATATCTCACAGTACATAAGCATTCCACACCCTCTTCAAGTTAAGGAATTAAAGCTTTGCATGGCAACATGCACCTGTAGTATGAGTGGTGAGTCCTGGTAGTGTTAACTATTCACATCTGTTGACCATTGGCATTTTGAAATGTTTAGTGAATTGCTTCTCTTCAAAGTCTTTTTCCTATTATAGATGTGTTCATCTTTTGTTAAAAATTAAGAATAATAACCTTTTTCTTTATATGTTATAGGTTTTCCTATTTGTAATTTGCCTTTTAGTTTTTTATTTTTGCCATTCAGAAAGTTTTAATTTTTGTGTGAATTCTGGCCACAGATTATCATGATTAGCATCCTTCATTTCTTCCAAAGTATTTTTATAGACCTCTTCATTGTGCCAGCTACTGTGCCCAGCACTGAGGATAAAAAATGAAAGATATTAGCATCTATTTATTACTTGCTCTAAGTTCCATGAATGTGATCCTTCATTTTCACATGAGAAAACTGAGAAATAGAAATCAAGTAACTTGCTCAAAGCCATAGATTGTGTAAGTAGGAAAGCCAGAATGTAAATATGGCAGTCTAACCCCAGGGCTGCATATGTGATTATATTTTATACTGCCCTCTCATACAGCAGGTCAAGTTCAAGTGGCCTATGTTTTCACATGACAAATAATTTCAAATATGATGAGTAATTATAGTAGAGGGTAACAGTGACAACAAACCTAATTTGTGATGAACCAAAGAAAGCGAAAAATCAAGCAGGAATGAGTCTTACAATGTCTTCCTCCTGACTGTAAACTGCCATGTAAAATTTTAAAGATTTTTAAGATTTTACATTGTACAGTATGTCACCCATACATCTACATTTTGGAACATGGCCTATTGTGAGATCTTCTAGGTAACTAATAATAGTCTCTGCTTTGTTGGTGGATATTACATCTCTGTCCATATCACCTTTATTATAGTAAAATTCCTAAATACAGAGTCTGCCTGTTTTGGTTACTTTTCTCATTACTGAGACAAGATTCATGATACCCAAAATCAAGGAAGGAAAGATTTGTTTAGCTCACAGTTTGTGAAGGTTTCAGTCCATAATCAGTTGGCTCCAAGGCAGGGTGATAAGGCAAAGTGGTCACAGTTGAAGATGCAGAAACCAGCAAAAGCAGCAAAAGCCAAAGAAGGAGTAACCTTCTTTTCCTACCTTATATTGTATGCAGGCTCCCCACCCGAGGGCAGGGGTAGCACTCACACTATCTCCCCTCCTCCTGCACAGACTCAGGATGTTTATAAATTGAAGCCCCTTGCTGAGTTGAGCTGAAAATGCTGTAACTGTTTCCTGAGGTGAGGGCATGAAGACAACAGATGCAGGTTTAAAAGCTGTCTTTGAGAAACATCCCACCCCCGCCATGACAGCATGAGGCTTTAGGGGGACACGCAGACACAAACTGTAACACTGCCAAAAAGACATATACACATTTCGGGAAAAGAAAAATAATAAATGTCTGGAAGCTAATGGCCACCACTTTGAGCATCTCTCATAACTGCAAAAGCCAAATGTAACTTGTATTAATCTCATGATGTCTCGATAAATTTAGTGCAAAAACATTTATACAAGTTTTACTTTTCCTGAAATGAAGTCCATCATTTTTTGGTGGACTTTGTATACTAAGTTGGTTCATTTCCACTCTTCAAAATTCTCCTTTTTATTGTGATAAAGTTACATGTGTGGATGCTTTGCAGCTGGGAATCTATGGTCAAAATCACCTTCCATCATTGTTGAACGTCCTTGTGTCTTATGACAGTATATGACTTCAGGTTTATTTTGTCTAAGCAGACACTCCTGTTCTCTCTTGGTGGCCATTTGTGTGGAACATCTTTTTCCACCCTTTCATTTTCATCTCTGTGTGTCCTTTGGTCTAAAGTATGCTTCTCATAGAGAACATACACTGTAGTTAATCCATTCAGTTAGTCTGTGTCTTTTAGCTGGGGAACTAATCTGTGGAGCATCTGCAGTAATTCCTGAAAAAGAATGTCTTACTCTTACTGTCTTACTTTTGTCTAATAGCTATTTTGTCACTCTTTTCCTCTCCTGCTGCTTCTGTATGTGTGTATGTGTGTGTTTTTTAACTTTCTATAGACACAAACTTTGATTCTTTTGTCATTTTCACTTATCTGTCTCCCATGGGTCTTTTATTTGTGCTTTTCCAGAGTTACATAGAATATCTTATGGTTATAACAGTCTGTTTTACACCAATAACCTTAATGTCAATCTCTACTCCTTTACAATTCCTTCTCTGCACTTAGCTTTGATGTAATATAAAAATTATATATATTATATTGTATATCTGTTCACTTGGTTAATAAATTTATTTTTATTTTATCTTTTAAATTCTATACTTGCATTAAAATTTCTTCACTTACCACCCTAATAATATTGCAAGATTCTGTAATTGTCTGTATGTTCACTTTTAACATGAAGACTTATGTTTTGTACACTTGCATGTGTTGTTCCCTGAGTATTGCCTCACACCCCTGTCCAGGGCTGATGAACTCATTCAGCTTTCGGGAATCTGTGGGACACTTTGTTTCCTCTTCATTTCTGAAATACGGGTTGGATTTGCTGAGTCCTTGCCCTTGGCTGGCAGGGTTCTCTTTGTTGAGCACTCCAGGTGCATTACCCACCTTGTCGGCCTGTAGGCATCTTCTGCTGGCCCTGTGCACACCTCGTGGAAGCTCCTATTGTGAGGCAAGGTGCTTTGTCCTGCTGCCTTCCCGACCCATTTGTCTTTGACTTTGATAGTTTGGTGCCATTGTCTTGTTTTTAGGTCTGTTGGTTTCCCCTAGTTGGTTTCTTTGAGCTTTCTTCTCTGTCCATTTCTTGCTCATATTTGAGAAATCTGGGGCCATTCTTCATCTCGCTTCCCTACCAGCGGCACACACTGGTCCACCAGTGGCAGCCGTTAAGGTCCGAGGCTCTCCACAAATAAATTGCCATCCATTTCACTCACTCTCTTTTGTGCTTAATGCAGCCTACTGTCAATCCTCTTTGCTGAAACTTTCCATTTTGATACTATACTTGTCAGTGCTAGAGTTTTTGTACTTTTTATATGTAGTTACCATCTCTGTTGATGTTCTCATTTTGTTCATGCACCTTCCCTAATTTTACTTAGAAGGCCTATTTGTTCCTACGGGGCTTATGATATTTTTATTTATTTATTTACTGTGTTTGTTTGTTTGTTTGTTTGTTTGTTTTAACAGTGCTAGGGCTTGAGCCCAGCGCCTGAAGCATGTTAGGCAAGTGCTCTACCACTGAGGTACCTCCTTTAGCCTTATTTTGAATTCTTTATCAATTATTCCACAAATGTCTGCTCCTTTAGGGTCAGTTTCTGAGGTCTAGTTGCTCCTTTGAGTTGGTCATGTGTCCTGTTTCTGTGTGTGTGCATGGCTCTTTATTCTAGGGTTTGGCATTTCCGGCGACTGCCTCTCCGGCAGTCTTTACTGGCTGATGCCGTGTAATGATTGACCATGGCCAGCCTCTGGATGCTGCAGTTGTGACCTCTCCAGGCCTGCATATGTGGTATTCCATTCAGTTAGGTTTCTCGGCAACTTTCTCTGGAACTTTTGCTGCAGGTTCCCCGATTATGGAGCCCTCTCTGACCTCTCCTATGTTCTCAGCAGTTCTTGGGGATCCACGGTACACAGGTTTGAAGATGGAGAATGGAGAGGCTATGCCTTGGGCAGCCTCCAAAACAGTGCTTCTTTCTCCTTGTCTTCTCCCAGTGAAGAAGTGGCGGGTCTGGTGTTTTCCCCCATTTGTGCCAGCCTGTGCCAGCCTGGGGACAGACTCTGACAGGCACCCTGTAGCAGCTGTTATCATCTGCATCACTTGTACTGGCTCTGCTCACACCTTGGCTGCCGCACTTCCTTATGGAATGCGGTGTTGCATTGAACCTTTTGGACCAAATGCTGACACTTGTTGTAGTCTACAGGTGGTGAGAGTTTCGGGCTTCTCATTCCACCATCTTGCTGTCCCCACTCTGCTGCTATCATTTTTAATGAATAAAATCCTAAAATATGCATGTACATCCTTTAGCTCAGTGATGGTAAGCCTTGTAGAGACTGAGTGCCCATGTTGCAACCCAAAACCCACTTATTTATCACAAAATGCCAACGCTGCCTTTAAACTTGACTGCTCGCCCACTGGAGCAACTTGATTCACGTGCTGAGAGAGGGCTCTGGGTGCCCCGCTCCTCCCCATGCCATGCAAGCCATAGATCCATCCCCGTTCCTTCAGCAAATCCAATACCCAAAGCAGAACTAAACTTTTTTGTAACTGAGAATCAGAGTTTTTTGTTTATCATTTTTACTTATTCAAACTACAAATGTGAATACATATGTATAGATAAAATATGTATTGGTTAAAGTAAAAATTTAAAAAATATATTTAAAAAAATTTTAATCTAAAATTAAAAAAATAAAAATAAAAAATATGTATTGGAAGCTCAGTTTCCCCTTGGCTATTTCTAGGCTCAACTTTGGCATAAACTTATTTTACTCTGCTGTTACTGTTAAATTATTACTCTGCACAATAGCACTTGAGCGGAGCGTTAGTAATAGAACCCTGCTACCCAGTACCAAGAGCCACAGGTCTCCCTGTCATTTTCCCTTCATTCCTCCACCTCACTGTTTCTCACAGGTGACATGTGAGAGGAGGACACTGGCTTATCAATTAGATCCAAATATGTTTTCATATGTATCACTGTTAAAGGTCCATTTTATTTTATTTGGTCTACAAAATGTTACTTTTTATGAACTACATAGATTTAATTTTTTGATGTAAAAATATTTCTCTATGATAAGTATCCTTTATTGTGTGCCCTTACAGGTAGCGTACTTCATAATATCCTATCGACTGTATGGGACGTACTTGTTGGTGTACTGATAGGAATTGTTTTCGGAGTTTTTATTCAATATTTTCCAAGTGAAGATCAGGTAAATTTAAAAATGTATACACTCTGAGGAACTGCAGTCTGTTAGTTTTCCATCACCACAATGGCCATCCTGAGGTAGTTAACTGACAAGCTTGGAAGTTTACTCTGACTCACAGTTTAAAGGTCCATTCCATGATCAGCTGGCCCATCGCTGTGGGAATATATCATGGCAGGAGCACACAGCAAAACAAGTCCATTAACGTTAGGAGCCAGACAGCAAAAGAAAGAGGAAGGGTCCGGCGTTCCCCCGTCTCCTCCGGGAGCGCGCCTCCAGCAACATCCAAACCACGGCATGTAACATTAGACATTTCTTTCCAAGTGTTGAACTTTGGAAAAGTTGTGAAATATTAAATTCCATCCTTTACTCTCTCCCTCCATGACTACTGTCTGCTTAAAACTGAGCACAGCTGTGATTGGTACAGGTGGACAATGGCCTTGACTAATGTCTCCGCTTCCTAATTTGTCAAACAAGGAATATCAGGAGAACATACTTAAATCTGGCCAGCTTCATTCCGCCCCACCCTTTTTCTACTAGATTGCTATTAAGTTTGACAGTATTTCCTAACTTTCCCTTGAACATTTTTGGAAACAGATAGCTTCCCATTTATCTGTTTATTTTGTGACATAAATTTGTTCTTGCTCTTCTTTGACAGAGTTAATATTGTTAAATTAATACTTTCCTGCTCTAGAGGCTATACCATTACTCTTCCACTTTAACTTGCCTATAATAATTATTTTGACTAAAGAGATACTAAAATATTTGTAAAATTTTGATGGATAGCTTATAGAGAACTAAAGATTATATGGATCTCCCCTTCACTTTCAGTAAACCTGTTATAGCCATTCTGTTGATACCAGAATTACACATAAGTCAGAAAATAAAAGTGTAATATTTGTAAATTTTATTACTAGAGATCAAGTCTGTTGAAATACTTAAGAAAATCAACATTTTAGACACTAACATATTGAGGGACATATAGCAAAAGGTCAAAAATAAATGATAGATGATGCCAACTCTTACATATTTAATATAAACCAATTTCTAAATATCTATTTCTAGGAAAAAGTTCCAATGAAGAGAGCATTCCTTATTTTGAGTATGTCTATTTCTGCTGTATTAGGCAGCCAGTACATTGGTTTACACGGAGCTGGAGGATTATTCACGCTAGTGTTGTCTTTCACAGCAGGGTTAAAATGGGCCACGGAGAAGGTGAATATTTTTTAAAAGATAACTTGGTTTTTATATATGTATATCATAGTCAAGGAACTTTATGTATCAATCAAGGAACTAAAATATTTAGGAAAAGTACCGAGAAATATTTCAAAATGCATTCAGAAATTAGTCATTACATCAAGCTTCTTTTTTCATATTTTATGTAATATGATTATATAACTTAGTAAATACTTTACTCATTAAAATTCTAGTAATACCGTTTAGCCATGGAGACATTTTCATAAAATATTAAAACTTAACTAAATAAAATACAGAAGATTCATCTGTCCTACACTGTTCTAAATATCTAACTCCTTTCCCAAAATTATTTCTTCTAACCAACCCTCTGTCTGTAGACATTTAAGTATTTTCCATTTTTAAGAAAAAAAAAAGGCACTGCTATAAATAATCTTATTCATGTGTCTTTTACACATACTGCTTAGAAGTAGTTGCTTAGAGTAGAATTTATGGGTTAGGAAATGGTCTGTTCTTATTTTGATAAGTTCTGCCAAATGATCCCTTCAAAAAATGTTCATTGGACCAGAGATTTAGCTCAGTGGTATAAAAGCCTATCTGGAAAGCACAAGGTCATGAGTTCAATCCCGGTACCAAAAAAGAAAAAAATAAAATAAAAAGAAATTTTCATACTTCTGTCAGTAGTACAGGAGAATGTCTAATATTTTGAGTAGTTCTTTTTTTTTTTTAATAGTCACCTGGGTAAAGCACTACATAGCACTTTTTTTTCTTTTTATATTGCTCTGATTAGTAGTGGTCTAAGCTTCTCTTCACATACTCCCTTTGTCCATTCCTGTTGCTGTATTTGCCTTTTTGTTTCTAATTTATAATTTATTTTTATGTTATGCCTACAGCAACAGGAATGGACAAAGGGTATCATATATGTTGTATATATGTATATATGGCATATATGAATATATAACATGTGTTGCAAATAATTTTTGCTTATCCTTGTTTGCATATAGCAGATTTTACTTCTAGATTTTAAACTCAGCATCTTGCTTAAGAGAGACTTCTTCATCCAAGATTTTAGCGTTATGAACATTATGAAGATATGCTATTTCCTATATTGCCCTCTAAAACTTTGGTAGTTGTACTTCTTTGTACATACATACCACGTTTTCTCTATCCATTCATCTGCTGTTTCTGAACTGTCGATGGTGTGAATAGTGCTGTTACAAACATAGACATGCACATCTCACTATGATGTACCTCTTTAACACTTTCAGGAAGATACCCGAGAAAGAGATAGCTGGGTCAAATGGAATTTCTGTTTTTAGTTCTTGAGGAATCTCTATACTGATTTCCATGGTGGTTGTACTAGTTTGCATTCTCACCAACAATGTGGAAGGGTTTATTTTCCCCCACATTCTCATCAGCACTTAGTGTAATTAGTCCTTAATGATAGGCATTCCAGTAGGAGTAAGATAGATGCCTGTGTTTTGATTTGCATTTGCCTAATAACCAAAGATGTTGAACATCTTTTAATGTACCTGTTGGCCATTTGTACTTCTTCTTTTGAGAAGTGTCTACTCATTTCAGTTGCCCATTTTTTAATTTGGAGATATATATATATATATATCTTCAAATAAATAAAATATAATAGATAGATATATGCTAGTTCTCCAATAGAGGAGTAGCTGGCAAAAAAATTTTGCCCCCTCTGAAGGTTGTCTCTTTACTGTGTTGATTGTTCCCTTTGCTGTGCTGGTCTTTAATTTGATATGATTCCATATGTTGACTTGTGGTATTATTTCTTGAACAACTGGAGTTCTTTTCAAGAAATCCTTGCCTATACCTATGTGTGCAATTAAACTTCAGGAAATTTAATGCTTCTGTACTTATGTCTAGGTTTTTGTTCTATTTTCATCTGATTTTAGTACAAAATGAGAAAGACATTGTCTAATTTCATTCTTCTGAAGTATTTATTCTTGGCCCCTTTGTCAAAGTCTGGATGATTAGAGATGCACAGGGCTGTTTCTGTGCCTGCTATTCTAGTCCACTGGTCTATATGTCTGGTTTTGTGCCAGTACCGTGCTGTTTTTCTTACTGTAGCTGTGTATTATAACTTGAAATCTGTAAGTATAATGCCTTCTGCTTTGCTCGTTTTGCTCAGGATTGTTTTGATGTTCTTGGTCTCTTCTAGTTCCATATAAATGTTAGTATTTTTTTCTGTCTCTGTGAGGAATGTTGTTGGTATTTTGATTGCATTAAATCAATATGTCATTCTTGATAACATGGCCATTTTGACAAAATTGATTCTTTCTACCTACGAACAGGATGATGTCTGCATTTTCTAATGTCTTCTTCAATCTCTTTCTTCAGAGTACTGTAGTTTTCATTATTAAAGTCTTTTACTTCTTGCTTAGGTTGATTTCTAGATATTTTTCACCATACCATCAATGGGATCACTTTCCTGATTTCTTTCTTGGCAGGTTTATTACTGGTGTACAAGAATGCTCTTCATTTTCATATGCTAATTTTGCATCCTGTCATTTACTTAATTAGTTTATCAGCTCTCATTCTTCTGGTAGCGTTTTTGTGTCTTATAAGTAAAAGTTTGTATCATCTACAAATAATTTGACCTCTTTTCTATGCACAACTCTTTTTCTCTTGCTTGATTGTTCTGGTTCAGATGTCAGGTACATATTGAACAGAAGTGGTGACATTGCACACACTTGTCTTTTTCCTGATTTTTGAGGAAATGTTTTCAGTTTTTCCCCATTTAGTGTGATGTTGGCTGTAGATTTGTCATAGTTTTTATCAGCACTAAGATCATTCTTTATCTACTTTTATCAGTATTTTTATGAATGGATATTGGTTTTGTTAAAGGCTTTTTCTGTATCTATAAAAAAGATCATGCCATTTTATCCTTCTATTTATGTGGCATATCGTATTTATTCATTTACCTGTGCTCTGCAATCCTTGCAGCCCTAGGATGAAGCTAACTTTGGTCACGACATATATCTTTTTAATGCTTTGTTGCTTTCTGTTTGTAAATACCTTGTTGAAGAGTTTGGTATCTGTGGTCCTCAAGGATATTAGCCTATGGTTTTGTGTTGTTGTTAGTCTTTCTCTGGTTTTGACATCAGGGCAAAGCTGGCTTCATGGAATGAGCATGGCAGTGTTCTGCTTCTTCCAGTTTCATTCAGAGTTTAGGGAGTGTTGGTGTTGGTTCTGTGCTGTAGTTCTGGTAAAATTTAGCAATGAATTCATTGGGTTCTGGACTTTTCTTAGTAGCTTTTTTAATGTTGCCTCAGTGTCGTTGCCTATTATTGGTCTATTCAGGATTTTTGTATCTTCTTAGTTCAATTTTGCTAAATCTTATGTATCTAGGAACTTACCTAGTTTTTCTAGATTCTCAATTTGTTGAAATAGTAGTTTTCAAAATTAGTTTCTTATAATGCTCTGGATTTCAGTGGTGTCTGCTGTGACTTCATCTTTCTCACTTCTAATTGTGTTGAGCTGTGTCTTCTGTTCCCTTCTTTTGCTAAGTCTGGCCAACAGTACATTGCTCTCATTTATCTTTATTGTTGTCTCAATTTCATTGACTTCAACTCTTATTTTTATGATTTCCTTCCTTTTAAAGTTTCGGATTTGGATTGCTCTTATTTTTCTATGTTGAGATGTGTCATTAGGTTATTGTTTGAGAGCACTCTGTTTTTCTAATGTAGGCACCTACCTCGCCTGATTTCCTCTGTGATCATTCCATATTCCAGAGTATATAATTTATTTTCCACGTTTCCATAGATTCTGTGGCTTTGTTGTTGTTGTTGATTTCTATTTTGCTTTCCTTGCGATACGATAGGATGCAAAATGTTATTTCATTTTTCTTTTAAACACCCTTATGGCTTGATGTATGGTGTATTTTGGAGACAGTTTCATGAATGCATCAAGAATGCATATTCTGGTGTTGGATGAAACATTCTGTAGATGTATGATAATTCCTATGGTTCTATTCTGATATTTCTTTGTTGAGTTTTTATTTGCTTGACCTATCTGTGAGAGTGGGATATTAAAATCTCCCTCTATGACTGTATTGGTGTCTGTCATGTTAATGTCAAGTGATTTTTGCTTGATTTGTGAAATCTGGTGCACATTCAGTGTGTAAATATAATTTTTATCTCTTCCTGTCGAATTGTTCTCTTTATATTTTGTAGGGACTGTCCTTGTTTCTTCTAATCAATTTTGGCCTGAAATTCTCTTTGACTGAGATTAGGCCCCTGCTAGCTTTGGGGCTCAGCTGCGTAGGATACTGTTTTCTACCCTCTCAGTGTGTGTTTCTTTGTGGATGAGGTAGTGTGTCTTGTGGGTGCCATGTACTGCAGATGGATTTTTCTTTTTGACCTAATCTTCTCACCTATGTAAAGTGATTGGGAAGTTGAGTCCATGTATGTTGAGTACTGTTACCAAAAAGTATTTGCTTGGTCAGCGGTTTAACTCAGTGGCTTAAGTTCCTGCTTGGCAAGTGTGAGATTGTGAGTTCAATCCCTAGTGAAAAAAAAAAAATCAAAAAGTATTTGCTGATTCCTGTTACATTATTTTTTCAGTGCTGATTTGACTCTATTTTATTGTGATGTAACTACTATCCCAGTTAGATGTAACCTTTCCCTAGGGCTTCTGTTGATGTTAGCCTCTTTTTATTTGGAATGTCCTCGGGTATCTTCCCCATTGCTGCCTTAGTAGTCTTGAATTTCTTCACGTTCATTTTGTCATGGAAGCTTTTTATTTCTTTGTCAGTTTTGAAGGATAATTGCAGGACATAGTAATTTTAGTATTTTTTGTTTATATTGTTTTGGCATTTAGTTCTTTATCTAGAATTTCTATGAACATTGTTAAACAAGAATATATGCACACATGTGTATGTGTATTTATATACACATCTGTACTTATAATAGATAATATATATTCATATATATCCATATAAAACTGAGTAATTTTCAGTGATTTATTTATATTATAATTATTTTGGATGCTTTTAACATAAGCTAAATTCTCACACATACACATAAATAGAGAGTGAGAGAGACAGAGAGAGAGAGACTCATATATTCTACTTACCATATTAATTTTACTTATCTGTTCCATTTCTATGCCATACCACTCTGTTTTAAATCAGTGCAATTTTGTATCACAAAATACAGTATACAAAGCTGTCCCTTCATTTTACTTCTTGGCCCATATTCATTTGTTCATATTTTTTTTTTGGTTGTTGTTTTGTTCTGTTTTATTTTGTTTTTTTGAGACAGGGTCTTGCTATTTAGTTTAGTTCTTGAATTGAACCTACTGTGTAGCCCAGGCTGGCCTTGAATTTACAGGGATTCTTCTGCTTTGGCCTCCCATATGCTGGGATTACAGATGTGTACCACTATACCTGGCCCCCAAATTCTTAGATTAATTTTAGAATCTGTTGAGAAATTGTCTATCCAAAACTCAATAGCATTTTGCATACTATTCCAATATAATCATGATTGTAAAACTAATTAAGTGGTTAATAATTCACTAAATCCAATTAAATACAAAATGAAAACTAGTATAAAAGAAATAATAAATGGGTTTCAAACATCAAAAGTAACAAATAGGACAATATGCTATAAAGAAGCAATAATATTATTTTCCTTTTTTGTCTCTTTTTAAAACTTTTCTAAATGGCAGTCAGAAAATCCAGTCATCAAGGAATAATTACGAAGGCAGTTTATGCCCCAAGAAATAGACATCAAAGTTCTTATGTGTCTGTAATGAACAACAAGTCCAGGCTGAGACTCAAATCTCTTCTGCAGATTCCTGGAGAAAAGCCAGAGACCTGTTGTGCCGTAGGGGCCTTCCTGCCATTCCCCTGTGAGCTGTGAAAGGGCTCTGAGAGGGATGCACCCCAGAAGCGGGGGCTAAGCAGGCAACCACAGAAGAATCTAATACACATTTTTTGGTTGAGGTTTAAGGAAAAATAATTTGAAGGAATCCACACAAGTCCTTTGGAAGCAGACCTAACAAACAGCATCTCAGGTTCACTTTCCTGGCATGCAGTTCTGAGATAACTGCACATGGCAGTCTCCCCATCTGCCTTCTGGAGCCCAGTGTGTGCATGACCGTGCGTGTTTGCAGCACGCAGGACTGGCTTCTGGCTCTGTTCGCTTACCTCACAAACACAAACTAGACTCTTACTGCGTCCTGCTGAGACGCCAAAGACCTCTCGTATTCTGTGACATAATGACCTCATAATACTATTTGTTTAATACCTTTTGAGTTTCTTTTAATCAAATTTTACATAACTGTTTTTTGATTTTTGAGGCAGGGCCTTACTATGTAGTTCAGGCTGGCTTTGCACTCTATGTAGATGTCTCATACAAGTAAAATATCTTAAGTCTATTAAATATTAAATATGGCTAAATTTTTGAAATGCACTTTTCTTCATGTAGCCACAATAACTGTAAGTATATTATTATAATATATTTCTCTTTTCTTCAGACTAGAGTCCAAAAACTTATTACAAGTGCATGGAATTTTTTTGAACCTCTTCTTTTTGGCTTAGTTGGATCAGAAGTATCTGTTTCATCACTTAAATCAAATGCTATTGGTAAGAATAATTACAGCACAGAAGGTACAAGATTCAAAAGTATTTAGAAAAACTATGAATACCTATTATTTTTACTTAAAACATTTAAGTTAGCTATTGGTATTTAAGTACCAACAGTACTTTAAAACTCCATCGTAACGCACTGTTTGGTTGGTTGGTTATTTGTCTGTTTGACTAAAAGAGCCCTAAACATCTTCCCTGAGTGATCTAAGTAAAAAGATAAAGATTCTTTTCTGAGGGGAAATGCCAGGTAGCATCAGATGCTTTCCTACTGCTTTCCGGTACGTGTTTGTCCAGAAGTCTGGTAGTTCAGAACTGAGTAAACAGACCTTTAGAGGACCATCTGAAGGAAAGCAGGAGAGATTCATCAGTTCAGAACTGAGCGTGTGTCATCTCTGTCCTTTCACGGCAGTCCCGCCCGAGGTCACTGGCACCTTCTGTGCTGGCCGCGGTCATAGCCATATTCTTTACCATTGTTATTTTTACTTTAAAAAAAGAGGCAGCAGCCTTAAAACGCTTTCACGTGTTTTAAAAATCATAGCTCTCGGCATAAAGAACCACTTCTTCCTAAATATTTTGTTGCTTCCATTTATTTTTATCTGTTATAGGCACTTGCGTCATTACCCTGTGTTTGGGAGTACTTTTCCGAATTTTAAGCACATTTGCATTGATGTGTTTTGCTGGTTTTAGTTTTAAGGAGAAAATATTTATTGCTCTATCATGGATGCCCAAAGCAACAGTCCAGGTAAAAATATGTTAAATTGTTTAATTTTAGTTTTGGTAATCTTAGTGAAAAATATTACTCCAGTCACAAAATGTATGCTAATTAACCTTACTTTTAAAATGTTAGATTAATTGTAACTATTTTTTGAAAGTAATCTAATTTTTTAAGAATCTCAACTTTTAAAGTAATTATTCTAAAAATTAAAATTTTTCTAAGAATTAAAATACTTTTAGTGACAAATATTTCTTTTAATTTCATGCAAATATAGTTTGTTTTCCTAAAATATAAAAAGATTATGTATCTGGAGGTTGGAATTTTATATTTTAGTAAACATTACAGATTTCAATATTAGGATTTTAAAGTAGAGACAGATTTATTTCTAAACTACACATTTTCTAATCCTGCCACCCACTCTACCACATGAATCTGTAAATATTGTCTTCAATCATACTTTTGTTTCACTGTGTAGTTCAGGTTGGTCTTGAACTCACTCTGTAGCCCACGCTGGCCTTGAACATGCAGTGATCTCCCTCTGCCTCCCAAATGCCAGGATTACAGGTGTGCACCACTATGCCCAGTTCTTTTTTTTATTTTATTTTATTTAAAGAAAGAATAAACAAAACAGAAATAGGGTAGAAATAATACATAACTTCAAAGAAAAGATAAATAGTAAGAAATCACTAATTGATAATTACATACTGTCCTTTTAAAAATAGTTATTCAAGTTACAGAAGTGAAGCATACAAAGTAGACATTCAAACAGCGAGACTGCACACAGTTCAGTTCAACTATCCAACAAAAACTTAGTAATATGGTTGTAAATACTATACACTTAAACATACATGCAGTTATCTATATCTTCATGTATTTTAAGATTAAACAAACCAAAGCAGGCTAAAATCACTCTGAACAAAGAATAATCCTATTGCTGGGTTTCACATTATGACATTCCAGGATCAGCACTGGGTACTGTGGTGTCCTTTTTCTTCAGAGTATCTGTTCATTTCATCATGTGTTAAGAAGATCAGTTCTCATAAATTGTTTATAGATTCTACGCATGCATGAGTCTCTACATGTCTTTCTATCCTTTCTATATGAGAGGGAGAAACAAAACAAAGCAAGACAAAATAAAACATATTCCCATAAACACATGAAACAAAAAAAGTCATTTAAAACCACAGTACAAGGTGTTCTATAATGATTCCTGTGTTGTCTCTTGTTATCTTCAATAGAATTGTCTTTATCAGCAGGCATAGTATAATTGAATATAGCAGTACATAACAATATTAATAAAAACAAAACATTGTAGATAGTATAAAACTTCAAAAGCAGGTAATAACCAAACGAGAATGGGTATTGTAGTGAATCTTGTCATCTTTAGTGTAGTTGCCTATACTCTCAGACTTGATACTATCAATCATAACAGTTTTGAATAAAATTCATTGATATCAAACAACAGTCTAAAAACCGATTCAACTAAGATCAGTCATGGTAAAACAGTATAAGTTACACAGGGCTTCAGCTTAAGTTAATAGGGAATTAAGGATGATTACCATACTATATCCTGCTATTTTTGGGATAGCTGTCGGTGCCCTCACATCTAGTACAAATAGACAAGCTGGGTCAGAATAAAATCTATCTAAACAGAGCGGTGTGAGTAATGTGGGTTTTTAAATTATTCTTCCCCTTTCACTCCCACAGGGTGCTGTGCATTTTTGGGTCCCACCAATTCCCTCAGTTTTTAGATTGAGGGGGCAACTTAAGTGGTTCCAAACCTTCTCCCTCCTGGACTTGATCTCAAGTTGTATTCCTTTACCTACAAAACCTGTCTTTCCAGCCTATCTGCAGGTGTTGGTCAAGTTGCCCCTGTTACTTTCTGGTTCCCTGTCATGTAGAGCATTGTTTTCTCATATTTGATTTTCGGTCCGTAATCCCTTTTTCAGGTTAATTATATTTCTTATATAGAGCATCTCGGTGGACCCTGCCTCCTGATCTACTCTGCCTGTGTTTCTTTTTTTTTTTTTTTTTTAGTGTATCAAGGCCATCTATATTAGAAAGTATAACCAACCTTCTCTGCATCATTTCTGTTGTGCTATTTTTCTGCCATTAGTTGTCTGCTTTTCTCCTTCATTCCACTTTCTGTTCCATTCATTGAGGCCTCTCTGCCACTGTTCCTGAAATCCTGGTACTTTTTTCTCTCTCTAGAATGTCCTTCAGTATTCTCTGTAGGGTTGGATTGGTGGTCACAAATTCCTCCAGTTCCTCTTTGTCTTGGAAGCATCTTGTTTCTCCATTAATTTCTAGAGACAGTTTTTCAGGGTCCATCAATCTGGGCTGGAGGTTATTTTGTTTCAGGGCTTGGAATGCTTCACTCCAAGCTCTTCTTGATTTGATGGTCTGTGTCGAGAAGTCTGCCGTGATTTTGATGGGTTTTCCTTTATAAGTGATCTGTTTCTTTTCTCTGATGGCTTTTAATATTCTGTCCTTATATTGAATTTCTGGGATCTTGATGATTATATGTCTGGGTGTAGCTCTGTTTTGGTTGTAGTTGGCTGGAGTTCTGTATGCCTCATATATCTGAATATCATTTCCTTTTCCTATTCTTGGGAAGTTCTCCTTAATTATTTCTATGAATAGCCTTTGTAGTTCCTTTGTTTGTACTCCTGCTTCTTCATTCACATTCTTTATTCTTAAGTTATAGATCCTCTTGTCATCTTCAAGCCTTTGTATTGTTACTGCCTGTTTCCTTGTTATTTTTAAGAGATTTTTCCTTTCATGATCACACATTGCAAACCTGTCTTCAAGTTTTAATAGTCTATCCTAGTTTCTTTCAAGCAGTTTTGCCAGCTTTCAATGGAGTTTTTTATTTCCTGGTAATCTCTTTGAACCCTTTTCATGTATTCTAGGTTTTCTTTATATTCTTCAAACATTTCTCTCCTTTTTTTGTGTTCCTCCATTCTTCTGTCTATGTCTTCTTGAGAGGTACTTAGCATTTCTTTTATTAATCTACTTATATCTTGCTTTACTTGATTAAATACTTCACTTTTGAGCTCGTCTATGAGGTGCCAAAGATATCTCTTTATGTCCACTGATGCCATGTCTGATATTGCATGTTTGCTGCCCTCAGTCTCTTTTGTATTTACCTCTCCTGGATCAGTGTTCTCAGGGATGGGGCCTGAGGACTTTTCTTGTTTCTTTCTCTTGTCATGTTTTTGGTTTCTTCCAAACAGGTGTATACAAGAGGTCCAGCCCCTTTACTTGTTGGTTATGGTTCTTCTGAAGCACACTGGCTAGGGTTTTCTGCCCTCTCCAGTTTGCTATTGGTCATTGAGGTGCAAACAGGGGCAGCATATGCTGACTCCTCCCCTCCGGATCAGTCAACCTGTGGGGGCCTTCACTGTGTTAGTGTGTACCATGTGTAAGGAATTGGTTTGGGGCGACTTATTGGGTCCTGGCCAGAGGTGTGACCCAGGTCAAGCAGATCCCACCAGTCTGGTCTGGGGAGAGAACAACTGATTGAAGTCACTGCTGCTCCTTGTTCCTGCCCATCCTGCCCAATTCCAATGTGTAGTCCAGTTGGTTGCTCCTTTCCCGTGGGAAGGTCTTATTCCCAGCACTCACCTCATGTAATGCAGGTCCTTTGCCAGCTTCGTTCTCCTTGGGCTCGCTGACCTCTGACTTCAGCAGGACCGCAGTTCTGGCTAGTCACGGTGGAGGGGATTCAGTAAGCTCAGCTGAAGCAGCGGGAGTTAGGGCAGCTCAGTGAGTTGCAGCTGCACAAGTTCAGGCACTGCAGCGAGAGCACCGTGGCCGCTAATCTTAGCTGCTCCAATGGTAGCCCCAGGACTGCATGTTTGACCAGTTCTTTTCCCTTTAGTTTCTTCCTGAGTTGAGAGGATCCATCTCTCTCTGTCCAGACCTCCCCACAATGTTTTATTCTGGCACCTGAGTTGTTTGTCTCAGGGAGCCTCTATATCCTGCTGCTTATCTGTGCACCATCTTGGGGAAGGACTCTATGCCCAGTTCTATACATTTATTTTTATGACTGATTATTGACTAAAATCCCCCAAATACTATATAGGAAGAACATGGACCCTGGTTTTTGTTGTTTTGTTTTTGTTTTTGTTTCATTACATTTCCTAGCATTTAACACAGTGCCTGGCAGGCAGGAGGTCAACATGCATTGCAAGCCTACAAAAGTGGTTGGATGGTTGGATGGAGGGATGGGAAGGATGGATGGGTGAATGGATGGGTCGATGAGTAGATAGATGAATGGGTGGAGAGATGGGTGAATGAATGGGTGAAAAGAAAAATGTAGTTTTGTTCGCTTTTTCAGTGATACTCTTCTCCCACTGAAACATATTGCTACTGACTATTAAACTAACCTGGAAAATCACACCTTCATTTCTTGAAATTCTTTTCTTCCTAACCTTGTAAAACAGAAGCTTATAAATTTCCATGCAACAAAACTCTCCATTATCGTGGTTAAGAAAGCACACTGATAGGGTCACACTGTCTGTTTTGAATGCTGTGTTACTTGTCTGTAACCTCAGGCAAGTTACTTCATGTCTTAGAGCCACGTGTTCTCATTTCACTGCAGGATCTGTAATCCGAGGTCCTGCAGCACAGTGTTATAGGGATTGAATGAAATAATCCATGTGAAGTGCTTAGAACAACTGCTGGCATAATGCCTTCATTTCTCTGTTCTGACCAGTTTTATACTTTTTTGTTTTGTATGAATTCATTTTGTGTGAAGATACAGACAAATATTTAGAAGAAAACAAGAGACATGGTAGCCACTGCAGATCTCTTGTTGTCTTACTTTGAAACCTATGTCACTTACATCGGTTTTTTCTGATCTGACTTGTTCTGTTTTGTTATGTTTAATTTTACCCCCTTTAATATTAAAAAAAAAAAGAACAACTGCTGGCTTATGGGGGTGCTCGATTAACAAAGTTGTTATTTTTTTCTTACCTTTGAGTAAGTATAAATAATTTTTTGTTTTTAACCTCGGTTATAGGGAATATCTGCCTATTCTCCCTCCTTCCAGCAATACACTTGTGATTTTGTTTTCTTATTCAGGGTTCCCTTAAGCAGGAAAAAAGAAACATAGGAAAGAGACCACACACTCACCCAGGTCCTCTGGTATTACCTTTTTCTGCTGAATCCAGGCTGTGCTGTTGTTGCTGGTTCCAAGGACTGGCAAACGTCTCGGGGTCTCTCTCTCTCTCTCTCTCTCTCTCTCTCTCTCTCTCTCTCTCTCTCTCTCTGTCTTTCTCTCTCTTTCTCTGTCCTTCTCTGTCTCTCTTTCTCTCTCATGCTAGGGACTGAAGTCAGGGTCTTGTATATGTTAGGTCAGCTACCACTGAGCAGTAGCTATGCCCTAAAATGAACTATTTATGCAGTAAAACCATAACAACATGAGAGATAATGATAGTGCCCCACCTATGAATTCAGTCAGCAAATATTTTAAATTCAAAATTTAACATTATCCTCATTTTTACCCTCTTCCTCCCTTTTCTGCTCCTGAAGTAGAATTGACTAGACTTCTGTCCTTTCTCTTTAACTCCTCTACTTAGAAATAACAATGAAAATTAGAGTAGGCTAATGGAAGATGGTAAAAGGAGTGTAGTTCATGAATGTTAAGATTAGTCCGCCCATTGGATTCTGCTAAGGAAAGCACCCCAAATGTCAGTCATCACACGGCACTCATGTCTCATCTGATAGGGGCTCCCCAAGAGGATGTGCCAGGTTAGATGAGTTACCAAGTGTCAGGCAGAACAGTACCTGCCACATGATGAGTGCTATATGACTGTACAAGTCCTATTATCAGGATCACCAGTACTACCATCTTGGTCCCTTAAGAGTAGTTTTTGAGGGGCTAGAGATTTAGCTCAGCGGCATAAGCGCCTGCCTTGCAAGCAGGCAGTCGTGAGTTCGATCCCCGGTACCGATAAAAAGGAAAAAGACCAAAAAAAAAAAAAAAAAAGAGTAGTTTTTGAAAGCCAGAGATTTAGTGGTGTGGTCACCTGCCTGGCAAGTACAAGGTCATGAGTTCAATCACTGGTACCAAGAAAAAAGGCAAAAAAGAGTGGTTTTTGATATGTTCATGTTTAAGCCCTTTTCTACATTGTAAGTTTTTATACTCTGTTTTCTCTGTGGTTTATCTTTCCTCCTTAGCATCCAGTATCTGGCTGGCTTGTGTTCACTGAACACAACCGATCATGTCTCTAGTCATTGATTTGGGATGTGGAAGCTGACCTTAATTTGAGGGCTCTCTTGCATTACTGTCCCTTATCAGAGGTAATATTTCTGTCACCAGGCCATTATGGCCCAGATCTGACTGGTTCTCGAGAGGCTTGTGTGTGTGCAGAAGCGAGGTTCGTGGGAGGGAACTAGATCTGGGGGGCCAGACCCTCTCGGTGTATGAACCCACTTTTGGGTATGACAGAATGGCACCGCTGGGAAATGATGGCCCTGAGGAGGGCAGGCCTAACTGGAGGAGTGAGGAGAGAGCGTGGCCCCAGGGACCACATCTTGTCCCCAGCCCCGTGCCCATCGTTATTTCTCAAGTATTTTGTCACAGTCTCAGAAAGCTAACATGCTGTTGCTATACTCTGCAACTCTGAGATACATATATATTTGTATTTAATCCCTAAAAATTTTAAGGCAATTTTTTTGCCTAGATTGGTTAATAGGAAGAAAGAGAATTAGCAAGAAACTTGTTTTGTGTCATTAAATCTGATAGAAGATACCTTGCAAAACATGTTATGACTGAGCATGGTCACTCTAAAACAAAGACTTCAGAGGCACTCACCGCTCGGCAGGGGTGAGGAGGAAGAGGAATGCAAACCTATCTGAGTACCAGCTGTGTACTCGGTGTTCATCGCTTTCTCACAGTAACCTCACCGCAGCCAGGGAGGGAGGTATGACATTGATTTCACAAGTAATTAGGACGGACACCTGGAGTCCCCCTTCAGAGCTCTCCTCTGGCTGTGTCAAACACAGAATTCAAACCCAGTTTGCCAGATCCCAGGCCTCTTGTGTTTGCTGCTGTTATCACTCACACACACACACACACACACACACAGTACACACGTGCACGAACAATGAACTGTTGGACTGAGAACCCTCAAGGCTGTGCAGAGCTGTGGGTGGCTGACCTGGTGGTGCCGCAGAACAGCGAGCAAAGCCTGTTCATCGGAACTCAGAGACCAGAGCAAGTGAGCCTGGCCTACGGGGACCCATGTCCAGGACAGCCCCGGTTCTGCGCCTCTGTGCCAGCACCATCCCTTCCTCCAGGTCTGTCCGAGGAAGAAGCGGAACTCGTGAGAGGTTTTCACAGACTGCTCAGCCCTTTTCATCTTTGTCTAATAGTTGAGTGCTGCATTTGTTTCTTTTTACAGGACTGTGTCCTTTGCCCGTATACCTCTGATGAGCATCTTTCTTCGCTCCCCCAACACAGGCTGTCCTAGGTCCCCTGGCTCTGGAGACAGCTCGGCTCACGGCACCCCACTTGGAGTCCTATGCAAAGGACGTGATGACAGTGGCATTTTTAGCCATCCTGGTCACAGCCCCAAACGGGGCACTGTTCATCGGCATCCTGGGGCCCAGGTTCCTCACACGCCACTGGGACCCCAGCAAGGTGAAACTGCACCTGCCAGCGCTCGAGGGTCACTGAAGGTCGCGGCCATCTCACCCCTGCTGTCCCAGTGAATTCTCATAAGGCACAGTATGTGCAGGTTGTGCATGAGACCCAGAGCTCCCTAGAGACCCGACTTGTCTGCAGGCTTCCTCCGAATTCCTGCTTCCCAACCGCACATGATAAAACAGCATGAAATGCACTGCCCCGTGTTTCTGTATTTCAAGAACAAAGCTTATCTGCAAGTACACCAGGAAAGTCGGATCAGTAAGGCTATGTTCGGATGTCACAACACAAACCAAGCTTAACCCAAATTAAGTGAGCCGAGTGACACAGAAACATATCTGAATGTTGCGCCTGATAAGCTGCATTTCCACACAGCAGGAGGACTCCCATCCCATTAGTTCATTCCCACACATGATCCAAGAGGGAAAGAAGTGGCAGGAATGAAACAGTCAGCTCTAAAGAGGTCGGATAAATAGATTTTAAATTCCAGTTTTAGTGACTACCTGAACAAATGTTAAGGGAAAGAACCAGAGTTAGCCATCTGCTCATACTGCAGCACACTTGGAATCCGCTTAAACAGTATTCAGGTGAAAATATCTTTAGTTTTTATTTGCAGAAATAAAATCACAAGTGGAAAAAATACTGTGTATTTGTGATTGGTATTTAAAATCTGGGCATGAAAGCCAGTCTGCAGAAATGAAAGATTAGAGGCTGGGGATTTAGCTCAGCAGCATAAGCGCCTTCCTTGCAAGTGTGCAGTCGTGAGTTCGATCCCTGGTACCAATAAAAACGAAAAAGACAAAAAGAAAAGATTATTTAATAGATGACTGCCAATGTGAGAGCTGCTTTTTGTTAGCGGTACAGAATTTTCCTCTGTTCTGGCTAAGGAAATCTGTGTGCCAGTGTAAAACTATCGTGTGTCTTTACCCTTTGTTCACTATTTAAGGAATTTTTATTGAAGCGAGACTATTATAGTCTATAATCCCAGCACTTGGGAGACTGAAGCAGGAGAATCACTGCAAGTTTGAAGTTTGGGCTACATAGTGAGTTCAAGGCAAGTCTGATACATAGCAAAACCCTGACTCAAAAAGATTATCAACTAAATATGGTGGGACAGGCCTGTAATCCCCAGCACTCAGGAGGCTGAGGCAGGAAGATCTTTATAAGTTTGAAGGCAGCCTGGGCTACACAGTGAGCTCAAAGCGAGCCTGAACTGCATATCGAGACCCTGTCTCAAAAAAAAATTATAATTTACATTAGACTGCTATTTTATGTTCATGATGCATAGCAATTCCCTTCATCCAGGGGACTAACTTCCATTTCCTTGCTAAGTGATCGGTTCTGTTATTGAAAACGGAAGGACATGCTTCACTCAGCCACACTAAAACACCACCGACAAAGAATGCTTTACATGTTTGTATTCTGCTGACAGTCCTTTTTCCCAGAGCCTGTAAAACATCTGTGTGTTTTTACATGTTACTATTTGGGCTGATCTTTGTTTTAAGTCAGTAACCCAGAAAACATTGTTTGCTAGATGACATTTGCTTAATGCTTTTATTTCTTTTTAAAATTTATTTTATGCTTGACAGGTTTCCCCATAATGTGAAAGTCTTTGAGGCTTAGCTATTTGTCTTTCTCAAGCACGAGTTTGCTTCGTGGTTCCAGAGCCCGCCAGTGCCCATATGCACTACTGGGCCAGGTCCAGGTGGGATGTGTCCCCCTTAGTCACCTGGAGCCTGGAGCCTGGAGCCTGGGCGGAAGGAGCTGTGAGTGCCCCGTGGCCAGCAGAAGCCGGACTTTTGGCCAGCAGGGAGGAGCAGAGTGGAACAGCAGACAGCGGTTTGCCCACCGTTTGTCTGCGCTCCGCCAGTCATGCCGTCGGCCAGCGCAGCAGGTCACAGCCTGCAGCTCGTGGAGCCTTGTAACGCCCTGAGAGCCGGCCAAAACTGCGCTAGCAGCAGCCGAAGGGACGGACCCTGCCGGTGACATTGTGTCAGGACAGCTGGGGGCCCAGGATAGCTGGGAGCTCAGCACCCCGCATGGCTGGCTGGTGTCCAGCATCCTGACAGCGCCACCTGGCCGGGGGGAGGCCTCGTGCCTGTGCATCTCTCCCCATACCCTTGGAAACCCGACCCGTTCAGCAGGTCGGCCTCTCCCAAGCACCCCTTCCTTACGCACTTCGCAGTAGGAGTGAAGGTCCACAGTGCCCAGCGCTCTGTGCGGTCCAGCAGGACCTGAGAGCTCGCCCCGCCGCTGGGCACCGCCTGCGTGCTGGTGGGGCGCTTGGGCTGCGGCTCGGCAGGCGCCCTTTGCCGCAGGTTCGCGTGAACGCTGCACACGCTCCTGTCCTCCCTGCGGCCGCCTTGCATTTAGCCGATGACGAAGATGCCCTTCGCTGCACGAGCAGTCCACCGAGAGGGAGAACTGGGGCTCCAACGCTATCGGACGCTCTGCTTGGGTGAGCGCCATGGCTGGAGTGGGGGTGGGGGCGCTGGGCTGGGCCGGGCCGGGCCAAACCGGGGTGTGGATGGCTGCCTCCTAGGGGGCGCTGGCGGGCCCTCTCTTCGGTCTTCCTCTCCTCCTCCCCCACCTCTCTTGCTCCTCCTCTTCCTCTCTTCCCTGCCTTATCTCCCCGTCCTCTCTCACACTCCAGTATGAGTTCCTTGTCCCTGCCAGCCAGCGTGCGGATGGGGCTGCCCGACAGATCCTGAGCTGTGCGACCTTCTCTCTAGGAAGTCGGTGGCCTCCGGACGTTTTTACAGCGACACAAAGCCAACGCAGCAGTGTCTGTTGGCAGCGTTTGTCTGTCTTTAATTTGCTGGTTCATTGTCTTGTAATTCCGAGTTCTCTAAATGCATGTTTTGGAGGCCAGGGCTCTCTTTGATGTGTGCTCCGGACAGGTTTCCTCCCAGCCCGCTGTCTGCTCAATGACAGTGCCTTTCACTGAGCAGAAGGGTTCGTTTTAGTAGCAGCCCGGCTTGTCAAGTTGTTCCCTTCCGGGCCATGCCTTTTGCATGTATCTGAAGTCACCATCAAACCTAAAATGGCCTAGCTTTTCTATGCTGAGTGCTGTAGCTTTGCATTTTACATTTAGGTGTGTGATTGCTTGTTGGTCAAAACTCATGGGCTGGAGCCTGTGTAGTGGTGCACACCTGTAATCCCAGCACCTGTAATCCCAGAACCTGGGCTACATAGCGAGACCTTGTCTCAAAAAACAAAAAACAAAAACCACCACCAAAAAAAAAAAAACGGGCCGCAGAGGTAGCTCAGCAGTGTAGCACTTGCCTGGCAAATGCAAGGCCCAAGGTTCAAGTCATGATACAAAAAAACAAAATAAAACAACAAGCAAAAAATCAGTTGAACGCATTTGTGTGACTATTTCTGGGGTTTCCAGTCTGTTTAACGTATCGGTTTTTCTATGTAATTTTTGCTTTCTGTTTTGTTGTTTGTTTTTTTTTTTTTTTTTTTTTTTGGTCTTTTTATTTTTTATCGGCACCAGGGATCGAACTCACGACTGCCTGCTTGCAAGGCAGGCGCTTATGCTGCTGAGCTAAATCTCCAGCCCCTTGTTTTTGTTTTTTAAGACAAGGTCTTGCTATGTAGGTCAGGCCAGTCTTGAACTCACTATGAAGCCCAGGCTGGCCTCAGATTCACAGTAATGTTCCTGCCTCAGCCTCCCAAAGATGAGATTACAGGCATGTGCCACTGTGCCTGGTTCTATGTAATTTTTTAAAGATCAAAGAGCTCAAAAAAGTAATTATTATATGAAAAACAAAATGTCAATATATCCTACAATGCAGAAACTACAAAGGCTCTTGACTACAATGTAATGAAGTAATTTAGTCATATATAACAAATATTACTGGAGTCAGAGAAATTAAAATTGGAAATATTGATTTAAGAAGGAATGATAATAAAATTCCATATCTCAGACATAAGGCAAATGGCCAAAGCTGTGCTCACAGAAATACGTATAGCCTTAGCAGTTTTATTAATGAACGTTAAAGTACACTATTCTGTCATGAACTTCATACCTCCTTGACATGAGTGACTTTTTCTTAAGTCTGGGAGTTGAACAGGGTCAGTCCTTTAGCTCTGTCCTTTCTCTTCAGGAATGTGAGAGCCGTTCTGGATTTTTTTCTGTCCATGAAAACTTTGTAACCTGTTTGTCTATATTAACCAAATAATTGGCTGAGATTCCAATTTATGATTTCATTGGATCTAAGCTCAGGCTAGAAAGAAACTAATATTTAGTCTTCTAGTTCATGAACACGCAATATCTTTTTTATCTAGATATTATCCAGCTTTCTTATTAGCTGTATAGTCTTTTTTATACAGATCACGTAGATGTTTTGTGAGTTATACCAGTGTGTTTGGTGCTAATGTCAATAATGTGATAGACGATTGGCTTATACGCCAACTTCATATCCCACAGGCTTGTAATCATCACTTCCAAGTTCTATTATTCTTTGCTGATGATTTAAGATTTTGTGTATAAAACGTATGACTTTGCAGTTTTATTTCTTCCTTCCCAATTTGCATCTTTCTTTTCCATTTTGTGCTCCCTAAGACTTCCAATACAATGTTCAATTCACCAGGCTTTACCCTAACAGTTTCATCATAAATCATTTACTTCATTAAGAGGTGAAGAATGAGAATTGTTTTGTTCTTTCAACAGTTGTTACCTGTCTTTCCTCTGTAAAGAACAGCTTTTCTCTGGTTTTTTAATGAACTAAATTTCCTACATAAAAACATTAAAAATTGCAATATTCTTTAACAACCAGTTTTCAGAGTTGATGTGCTACAGCTGCCAGGGTGCCCAGTGGAAAAAGCTTGTTTTTTATACAGATAAATGATTTTATTTTTGTTTTTCTTCACTTACTTTTAAGACTATATAGACTTGACTCATTTAATAATACTGTTTTTCAATTTTCAGAGGTGGGACCCAGAGAATGTGAGAATCATGATGTTGTTAATGAAAAACATCAGGTAATAACTAAAGACCTCATTCTTGTGGACTGGAAACCCATTAGCTGAGCGGGCGCTAGGAGGCGGGCACAGCTGCGGGCAGGAGGCCAAGGGCAGGAAGGTGCCTCTGAAGGGTGTGTCCTGACCTCCCTCCTTGCCAGCTGTCATGTGGTGAGCAGCTCTGCTCTGCCTCTTCAGTGTCTCCAACTCATCCACAGGCCTAAAGCAATGGCATTGGCCAACCATGGACAGAGGGAGCCCTCTTAAAACAGGAGCCAAAATACATTTTTCCTCCGTAAGTTGTTCTTGTCAGGTATTTGGTAACAGTGGTGAAAAGCTGACTAACACACTTACAGTTAAGAATCATCACCAATAAAATGTACAACAGCTAGGTGTGATGGCACACTCCTAATCCCAGCATTTGGGAGGTTGAGGCAGGAAAGTTGTTTGCAAGTTTGAAACCAGCCTGGGCTATAAAGTGAGCCCAAGGCCAGCCTGAACTGCACAGTGAGACCATCTCAAAAAGACAGTAAATAAATAAATAAATAAATAAATACAATAAAAAACATTTTTATCATCCCCAAAAGAATCCTAAATCTGCTAGGAGTAGCTTTCCACTTCCTCCCAAGTCTCTCAACTCCTGGCATCCAGTAATCTACTTTTTGTCTCTGTAGCTTTGCTTTTCTGAACATTTCATAAAAATAAAATCACATATTACATGCTCTTTTGGGTTTGGCATGTTTCACTTAATGTACTGTTTTCAAGAGCTGTGTTCCACAGCACATGCCAGGCAACCATTACTGTTGGTGTGATTTCTAATACTCCAAATTGGGCACCAGAGGCCTGTTTATACTGGCTTCTATACCTTTTGGACATGACTCCATTCATCTTTAAATACTTCCTGACACTCACATATTTCAGACTCCCTTCTCTTTAGCACACCTACAAGCAGCCACATTTGAAGATGCCAGGATCCTTTCAGGGGAAAGGCATTTAGGAACAAATACCTTGGTGCCAGGCACGTTACTTGCCACTGCTCATCTCTAATTCCAGGCCTTTCCATTACATGGTGCTAAGAAATGTTTGAAGGATCATGAAGTCAAGATTTACAAGCGCCAGGCAATACGGAATAAAAACAGGGCAAATATTAGCAAAGAGTTGAATATACTTCCCGAAATTCCCTGTTTAACAACCAGGTTCTGTTCCTGCGAATAGGTTGCTGAGTGAATTGTCATAAATGAGTAATTGTATTTAGTATGCAAGTCACAGTATTCAGAACAAAAAAATGTCAAAGGAAACTCCAACTTGATGACTGTGCTTTTATTTCCATAACTCATATATAGTAATGTGTAACAAAACATAAAACCACAGTACCGTACAATCAGCAAAAATTACAGTACTGTATGTATAAACAAGGTGCACTGCACAAAAAAAAAAAACCACCACCTTGACGTTCTCTACGCAAGGTGTATAGACCTGTACAAAAAAAAAATTTAAAAAGTCGTAACTCCAAACAGTGGTCATAAGTGCAAATAGTCATTAAAACCGCAGGTAGGTCATTAAATGAGCACTGCAAACAGACAATACTGCCTTCTCCTTTCTGATTTAGATGCCTTGTATTTCTTTCTCTTGCCTACCTGCTCTGGCCGGACACTGGTACCTGCTGAATAGGAGCGGAGAGACTGGGCACCCTTGTTTCATTCCTGAGAAGAAACAGCTTTCACCATGGAGTATGATGTTATCCGTGGGCGTAGTGTTTAAGGTGCACTTCTTTCTGACTTTATCATGAAAGATTACTCAATTTGGTCAAATATGTTTATGCATCTATGGAAATGCTTAATGATTTCTACCCTTCATGCTGTTAATGGGTTATGCCATGTTCATTATTGAACGTGTTGAGCCAGCCTTGGGGGGCCTGGAGCTACTGCTCTTTCCAGAGTGAAGTAGGCAGCTGCCTGTATGGTTTGCATCCTGAGCTGGCCTTTTGATGACTCACGCTAACCATTTATCCTCCTGCCACAACATGGGGACTCTCACATGGTTGCAAGCTGAGAGAATCTGGTGCCACAATTCTTGCTGACATGGGGACCTGGGCCACCTGGTCATACTACTTGCTTTTGTCCCCCAGCTCTGCTCCTCCCTGCCTGGTGCCTATCATCCTTCCCTATCATCATAGATGCTGCCAGGCTATCGCAGAGCTCATGCTGGGGCCATCTAGTCCATGGTCACTGAATGCCCACTGCAGGTGTGCATCTCCACTTGAGTTCAGGAGTATGCCAGAAGCTATTAAGGTCCATCCGTGTGCCATGGGAGTGTACGGCACAGACTTAACCGTGGACTCTACTGTGACAAGGGGTAAACACAGCTTCTCAAACAAGATTCTAAATGTGGGCTACTGATCTTCCTGTGAAAGCAAACTGCTTCTGGTCAAGTTTCCTATGAGTCTTGCTTTATCTATTTTATATGCACATATATCTGTAATCTTTTCATTTCCACTCAATTTTAAATGTGTTCTCATCCTTACTATAATTTTTTCTTAATTTTTTCAAAGATTATTTGGAAAGATGTTTTTCATTTCTAAACTTTGAGTATTTTAGATAACTTTTATTAATTTCTAGTGTCTGTATTTTATAACTAAGACAAAAATCTGACACTTATGTTTAGACCGAATGTCTCATAACTTCTATACACATATCAACTGTTCTTGGAAAGGATATGAACTCTTTAACCAGAGTTCCGTATCACCTAAAGAGCCTTATTCATTTTGTCTATTTCGTCTATTTCTATGGTAAAAATGATGTGCATTTGTAGATTTGTTAATTGCTCTTTACAGTTCTATTGATTCTAGATTTGAGGATATATGAGTAGGTATCTACAATTTTAGGTTTGATGTCTTCTTGCTGACTCTTTTTACTAGACATTACTGTGTGGTTTGAGGATTTCAGTGCTGCTCAAGGAAAAAACACACGACCAGGAGGTGGCAGTAGATACAAGCAAGCTTTATTCTGGGATCCTTTGACCTGTCTGCTTTGAGGGAAAGGCTTCAACAGCAAGATCAGAATTTCTGGAGATGGGAAGGTGTTGAAGGGAGTTAAAGGGGGAAAAAACAATCAAAAATTGTCAAGATACAGATACCAATCCCCAAAAATGAATGTAATTATTATGTGTCAGAAGAATGTACTAATAAAGAGTCCCAAGGCATGGGGTCCAGCACCCAGAGGGGAGGAGGTTCAGAGAGAATGGGATCGAGGAGGTCACTCAGCAACATGGGCTGGAGTGTCCAGGTCACAGAGCACAAAGGACAGCAGCAGCTCACGGTTTATAGCCCAGGCAGATTCAGACAGTCACAGAGGATATGTGAAGCATGCAGGCTCTAAATGACTGCTAAGCTGCTTGCTGGAGATACTTAAAGCAACTAGATATGTAAATTTTGAGTTCAGTGGTGTTGGGTGTCTTAGTTACTGCATCAGTGCTGACACACAATACCCAGCACCTGCAATTTAAAGAGGGAAGATTTATCTTCGCTCAAGTTTCAGTAGTCTCAGTCTTTGCATAGCAGAGGGGCATGGCCAACAGAAATGAAGACCAAAGAACAGAGCTCAGAAGGAAGATGAACCCTTGCGCCAAACCCCTAGTGACCACCTCCCCTAAGCAGGACCCTCCTCCTAACATCAGGTCAGCTAAAAGCCACCATAAGCCAACTGCCTTACAAAAGCTTCCCCATGAGCATGTGAGGCCCTTGAGGGACACCTAGCCACCTGTGTAGCTCTTTATGCAAAGTGCATTTAGTCTATCTCTAAGAGTTGCCAGAGTCTAACAGGTCAAGCATTGCTGAACAATCCAAGTCCTAAGTCTCATCTCAGACTGACAGCCAACTCTTAGTAGTGAACCCTTACAAATACCAACAAGTTAAACACTACCAACATATAACGGCACAGAGTAAGCATCAAATTCCAAAAGGAAAAACCAGGAAGTCAGAAGCCAATGGGGCCACGCAGGACTGAACCCCAGCAGGGTAACTAGTAAGCCTGTGGATCAATGTCCGCCACCCAGCACAAGTTGTGGCAAAATGTGAATTGTACAGGGCTTAGGTGGCCTCGTCCCTACAGCAGTGCCTGTGGTTGTAGCCCTCCCTGATGGATTTCTCTCTGGCTTTCCTCATTCCATGTTCCTGGTTCCTCCAACTTCCTGGGGTCTCCGCCGCACTTCTCACTTTACTCTTACAGTGTTACACACTGCCCTCAGGGACACACCACTTGCTCTCCCAGGCCTCCTCCTGAAATCTGGCTAGAAGCCTTTGTGACCCTACAACTCTTGCATTCTGCATACCTGTTAAAACCAGCACCATGTGGATAATACCAAGGTCTGCTACCACCATGAGCCATGGCTGGCCCCTTTGAATCTGCTAGAGAGGCTCTCAGTGCCTAGACGGCTCAGCACTGTGAACAGAATTTCAGGGAACAAATTCCCTAGGTGACCCATTCTAGAGAACATTGCAGGGCTTTCTTCCCAAAGCAGTGTCTTCCATCCTTGCAATTTTAACCCTTCAAAAAGGTGGGGTCTTGCAGACTTCTGACATGCCCTCCAGCCATTTTTCCTATTGTTCTAATCCAAAGTACCAGGCTTCTCTTTAATCCTTTCAGCAGCCAAGCTTTCCTCTGCTGCAACTTTATACAGGCTTTAACTTTATGGGAGCTTCCTTTCAGCTAAAACAAACTTTTAAAATCACTCAGCTGTTAAGGCCAGGGATATAGCTCAGTGGCACAGTGCCTGCCTGGCAAATGCAATCATGAGTTCGATTCCCAGTACCAAAAAAAAAAAAAAATCAGTCAGCTGTGCCATTTGCTCTTGGTTCTCAACAGAGATTCAGCTACAAGGCCCCAATAATACCCATGCCACAGCCTCGACACTTGAGTTTTCTTGAAATTTCCTCCACCAGGATGAGTCCACTGCCCTTAATTGCAGCTTTCCCCAAAGTCGCAGAACATAAGCAAAATGTAGACAGATTTTCTGCCAAAATAAAACATCCTGGCCTGGAATACAACTGCTGGTTATGTCTGTTTTCATAACTGAAATCTCTTCAGCTTGTTCTTTGCTAGATGCATTACTGTCAGCACTCTGCTCTCCTGAGCTCTGACCATCAGATGTCACAGCCTCACTAGCCCGCCTCTACAAACCTTACCAAACTCCTCCGGTGAACTAGTTCCAACGTTTTCTAAACCACATGGTTTATCAGGTGTCAGCACAACAATGACCCCACTTCTCTGTTACCAAAATCTTAGATATTTCCCTCATTGCCAGAACACACTGCCCAACATCCAAAACTGAAGGGAGGAAAGCTTTATTTTGGCTCATGTTTACACTCCGTGGTCACCTGGCTCTGAGGCAGGACCCCACAGCAGAGGTGCAAGGCCAGGGAAAAGCTACTGATGGCATGGCCTTGGGGGAACAGAGGGGGTCAAGGGAAGAGGCAGGAAAGGAGGGTAACTGTCCAGTGAACACGCTCAGTGACATGCCCATTCGTCCCCACCAAGCCCCACCTCCTCACAGCAAGTCTACTATAATGCCCCTGTAATACAGTCACTCCGGTGGGCATGCCTATGACTTCATGAGGCTGTCGGGAGCGTCTGGATGTAAACCAAAACAGTGATGATTTTTTAATGTATGTTTTTTTAATTTGTACATATGTATGGACATACAGTGCAATGACTCAATTCATGTACAATATGTAAGAATCAAATGTTGCATGTTTATCTCCTTAAACATTTTAAAAATATTTCTAACACATAACTGTACATAGTTATGGGGTACAGTGTGATACAACACATACAAATCAAGGTAAGTGACCCCTGTGTCTCCTGATCCTTGCCTCCTCTTTGGAACTCTAAGCTCTTCTAGCTACTCATCACACACACGGAGGTTACTGAGAACCAGTCACCCACAGGCTACAGAACCCCAGCACCTGCTCCTCCAGCACCTTCCCCGCTCTGGTGCCTGTTATTCAACCCCAGCTTCCACTCTTCTCCCTCAGTGCCCTGTAACAGGCCAAAACCACAACGAGCTGTCACCTCGGCCTCCTCAGGCTGCACTGTTATCAAGAAGGCAAAACGTGACAAACGCTGTAGGCACGTGGAGAAAGGGGAATGAACACTTTCGCACTTCTGGTGGGAATGTAAACTGTTCAGCCATTACAGGGGACAGTGTGAGGTTCCTGAAAAACCCGAAACCAGATCTTCCCAGGGGCCGGCACTCCCTGCTCTGGCATCCAAAGGGAATGAAAGCAGCAGGTCAAAGAAGCCTTGCAACCAGAGGTTACTGTAGCGCTCTTCATAATAACCACGATACAGAATCCAGCTAAATCCCACCTGTGTATAAATAAGGAAAATGTGCTGTGTACACACAATGTTATGCTATTCCTCCATTTAAAAAAATGAAATCCTGTCATTTGCAGAACAGTGAATAAAACTGGAGGACTTGAGGTGAACTAAGTCAGAAAAACAAATACTACATGTCCCTTCTCCCACGCGGAGGCTGAAGGTGCCCGTCTGCTTGTAGCACAGTGGCTGCTGGTGGACTTCTGAGCTTCGGTGACAGCGCGCTGTGGAGGAATAAGCAACAGGGGGCTATGCACGCAGGCACCTTGCCTTATGGGACAAGCCGTGACACCTCCCACTTTTTGCCACACAATATTCATTTTTATGGTTTATTCGCTATTACTTGGGAGTCAAGATTTCCGTTTACCATGGTCTACTACCTTATAACTTACTATTCAAGCCACTTCCATAGAACTTTTGCTCTATTCTGCATCCCCATAACCAAAACTTCTCTGGATAACATCATTAACAATCTTTATGCAGCCAGGCATAGTGGTGTACACCTAGGACCCCATCACTCTGGGAGGCTGAGGCAAGAGGATCCCAAACTCAATCCCAAACTGAGCAATTGAGAATTTCTCAAAATAAAAAATACTTAAAGACCTAGGGATGTAGTTCAGTATGAAAGTCATGAGTTGGGACTGGGTATTTAGCTCAGCGGCATAAGCGCCTGCCTTACAAGCACATGGTCGTGAGTTCGATCCCAGGTACCGATAAAAAAAATAAAAAATAAAAGTCATGAGTTCCATCCCCAATACCAAATAAATAACCTCCATCTATCAAATACAGTTAGTATTTTAATTTCTATTCACACTTTTTTTTTTTTGAGACAGGGTCTTGCTGTACTTCAGGTTGGCCTTGAACTCATGGCAATTCTGCCTCAGCCTCCCAAGGGCTGGGATTACAAGTATATACCACCGCACCTGGTTTACACATTTAAATAATTTCAAAATGGGATGTTGTATCTAGAATTTAGTAGATTTCCCCCATTATTACAGATTAATATTTGGGTGCTTCTTTTGTCACAAATTTTATTTCCTGCCAGAAAACTTTTGTATCTTCAATCCATCTAGTTCTTTTATATATTTTAAATCACTTTTAAAAACTCGTTTTGTTACATCAAGGCCTTCAGCATAAACTGACTATCTTAATTTTGTTCTCTGAATTGACACAGTACATTCGTCCTATTTTCATCTATACCTAGATTCTCAGATACACCTAGATTTTTTTTTCTCTCTTTCATCTTTTTTGAGACAGGGTCTCACTATGCAATTCAGGCTGGCCTGGAGCTCACTTTGTAGCCCAGGCTGGTCTCGAACTTGACACCATCCTCCTGCCTCAACCTCCTGAATGCTGGGATTAGAGGCTTGCATCACCACGCCCAGCTAGATTTTCAGCTGGATTTTTTTCTCACCAATCTTGTTCATTACGTCAATTATTTTTCTTTTGACTTGACTCTAGTACCTTCAGAGTAGACACAGGTATCTGGTGAGAAACCCCTTCTCAGCAGTCTTATTTTCCTACAATTTTCTAACCTTCTATGTGAACTTTAACAAATTTTATGATTTGATGTCTTTTATTGAATTTATATATAATTTCAGATTTATAGCTTTACAAGAGTAATTATTCTTTATTTGTTTAAATCTTATCTCTCTTTATAATTCAGACTGGCTTTAAACTATGTAGCTTTAAACTATGCGGCCCAGCCTGCGTCTCGACCTCATGGTGATCCTCCTGCCTCAGTCTCCCAAGTACTAGGATTATAGGTGTGCATCACCATGCCCAGCTTTTAACTGCTTTTGTTATTTTTATAATGTATCTTGGTAAATTTATTTTTTCCTATTGTGAGTGAAATATTTTCCTACTAGCATTTCAAGGTATTTACTACTAGTAGTTTGTATATTCATCTAGTTTTTAAATACTGTATCAAAATCCCATGGCTTTTCCTAATCATGATTTCTTAGGCATATAATCATATCAACAAAGTTTTCTACTTTCCCATATGTGTAATGGTTATTTCATTCAGAAATCTTGTTACAGTCTGGGGTTGTGGCTTCATGGTAAAACATCTGCCTTCACATGTAAGGCCCTGGGTTAATCACAAGTACCGAAACGAAACAAAACTCTTGTTTCATCCACAGGTCCTCCAAGGTTAGTCTTTTTTTTTTTTTTTTTTTTTTTTTTTTTGTCTTTTTCATTTTTATCGGTACCAGGGATTGAACTCACGACTGCCTGCTTGCAAGGCAGGCACTTATGCCACTGAGCTAAATCCCCAGCCCCTAAGGTTAGTCTTTAATATCAAAGTAAGGCAGCAAGCCACTGCTGGTGGTTCTTAATTTTTAATTGAAATCTTTTACAGTTTAAAATAATTATGGTACGTTTCACAAATACGACGTTCCAATTTTTTACTTTAGTTGAGAATTATTAGAAATGGCTACTTTTGGCAAAAAAAGGAAAAAGAAAAGAAAAAAAGGGCCAGGGATTTATCTCAGGAGCATAAGCGCCTGCCTGGCAAGTGGGAGGTCATGAGTTCAATCCCCAGTACCACGGGAAAAAGAAAAGAAACAGCGACTGTTTACCAAAACCCTCTCAGCATCTAGTGATGCCTTACCTTCAATTATGGCTGACACTGACACAGCCCTGAACACAACAACACTCTTCGCCAAAGTATACTACTTCTCTTCTTCAAATATAGTTTATTTTGAGTTTTCACCCATATTTGTAAATGAGATTGGTCTATGGTCTGGTCCCATTATTTTCAGGTTTTTATATTAATATGTTACTATTACTTTCAGGTTTTCATATTAATATGTATGTAGATGTTTTCCTTTTAAAAGTTGGGGGTAGGGCTGGGGATTTAGCTCAGCGGCACAAATACCTGCCTGGCAAGCGTGAGGTGATGAGTGAGATCCCCAGTGCTAGAAAAAAAAAAAAAAGTTAGGGGTAGACATCAAATTATCCTTTTTGCAACCCTAATACTTTCTACATTATGAATTTTAAAAATGATTTTGCACCCTGTACTTATAATTTTTTTTTTTTGTCTTTTTCCTTTTTATCGGTACCAGGGATCGAACTCACAACTGCCTGCTTTACAAGGCAGGCGCTTATGCCACTGAGCTAAATCTCCAGCCTGTACTTATAATTGATGTGCTAGCTTTTTTTTTTTTTTTTAAAGACAAGGGTTTTGCTGTGTTTTTAGTGGGTATTTTGGTACCAGGAATTAAACTCAGGACTTTGTGCTTGCCAGGCAGCCACTTACTACTGCTGAGCTATAATCCCTGCCCTTCCAGTTTGTTCAAGGTGGCCCTGAACTCCCTAGTGTCACCCTCCCAAATGCTGGGATTCTAACAGGCACATGCTACATGCCCAGTCTGTGCTAGCACTTTTGATTGTCCTTGCGCTAGTCCTGGCCACTTAGATTTCTGGAAAAGCGTGTCTCCTCCAGCTCTGCAGCGTGTTGCTACCCAGAGCCAGCACTATCTGCATCCTTATCCTTCCCTCCCCAGCAACATCCTGCAGAGCTGCAGACTCTCCTTCTAAGCTCTGTGTTTCTTTTATGTATGTAATGGATGTGGCTGAGTCTTCAAGGTGATGGTCAGAGAAATGCGTGAAGGCACCAAGGGAAAAATGACAGGAAATCTGAAATGTCAGTGAGTTCCTTTTTGACATGTTTATTCTTACAGGCACAAGCTTCCGTTCTGCAATTATGCAATGTCCACCCCTTTCCCCTTTTCTACAGTATTTTGGAAAACCTGAGCTTCTAATAGAGTAAAGAATCAATCTGCTAGCATTGTGGCTGACCTCCTAGACCATAGTATTGTAAGAAAACAGTCACAGATACACTCGCACACCCGATCTGAAAACAGATTTTTGAGTGCGCAACAAATCAGGCACTTAAACCACAGCAAAATAAGAGTGGTGTCACTCTGCTTAAAAGATACACTTCTATCTTTCTGAACAGATTTGCAGTGTCCAAGACCAAACTAACAGGACACTGGGTGAAGATCTAGTTTTACTGTATTAAAATGATGTTTGCTATAGGACTTTTCTAAATGGATTTCTGCAAAAGATAACACTAGTTGGTTGGTGTGCTAAGCTGGATGTGATGGTGCGCATCTGTGATCACAGCACTTGGAAGGCAGAGGCAGAAGAACCGTCAGGAATTTGAGGCCAGGAATTTGAATCCCTGGAGTACACAGTGAGTTCAAGGCCAGCCTGAACCACATAGGAGACGGTCTCACAAAAAAAACAAACAAAATAAAATAAAGTCAAATAAAACCAAACCAGAACTAGTTGATTTGCTCAACATGACAAGTAAGCCCCAAACCAAGCAGCTGTAGGTGCCCTACATCCAACCCTGGGGGACAATGGCAATTAGGTCATCAGTGGTTTTTAACCATGACTTCAGTCCTCCCTGATGTGGAGGTCATTTGACATGATTTATGTGGCTTAAATCGCCACTGCTTCGTTTTTCCTGTATTTTAACAGTTAAGTTACATTAGCATGAAAAGCCTTTTGAATGAACATGGAAAAACTTTCTATAATTAAAGCTTCCAGAGAACAAGGAGTAAGTCAAGAACTAGCCCAGGAATATTGGGGAAGCGCTGAGCTGCCAGTGTCACCGAGCCCTCACATGTCCTGCCTCAACTGCCATGCTCACACCCTCAGATTCCCGCCACACACCCCTGTGGGGTCGGGCACAGCGATGTCCCACGGACCCTATGTTAAACTGTCTCCAAGTGCTACACCTCTGACGTTCACTGTGAATTTACTTTTAGTCGGCTTCCCTCTGGCTGTCACATTTCATATTTTACCCATCTCTAGCCAAACCCTTTCCATACTGGTGATTTGTTCAGGAGCAGAAATCAAGACAACTGAACTTGTTAGAATTGGGTATGAAGGGCCAGGGGTTTAGCTCAGTGTCTGCTTGGCAAACAGGAGGTTGTGGAGTTCAATCCCTGGCACAAAAAAAAAAAAAAAGAATTGAGTGTGAAGTAAAGATATGCAGACTGCCCAGCACATGGAGGCTGAGGCAGGAGGATCACTCCAAGTTTGAGGCCAGCTTGGGCTATATAGTGAGCTCAAACCCAGACTAAAATACACAACAAGATCCTGACTCGAAAATAAATAAATAAGTAAAAAGCAGACTCTGAAGATGAGGAGCTGAGGCACTCACTTTTGACAGTACAAGCATTAGGAACTTGGGTTTCTCCAGAAGGCAGTGCTGCTCCAAATGCACTGGAAATGAATGCAGCAGTCACTTCCTGTCTCTCCCATGACCAAATGAAACACCCCACTGGGTGTCGCCAGGCACACCTGTAACATCAACTACCTGGAAGCCTGGACACTGAACCCTGTCTCAAATTTGCTTTTAAAGGGTAGGGCTGTAGATGAGTGTAGAGCACCTGCTTACCAAGCATGCTAAAGTCCTGGCTTTAATTCCTAACACCACAAAATAAAATACCTACTCTGATCTCTTAAGAACCCTGGTAAGACCAGGCATGGTGGTGCACACTTGTAATCCCAGCACTCAGAAGGCTGAGGCAAGAGGGTTGCCATGAGTTCAAGGCAGCCTGGACTAGATAGTGAGTTCAAAACCAGCCCGAAATACACAGTGAGACCCTGTCTCAAAAATTTTAAAAAAAGGAAAACAAAAACCAAAAACCTGTTAAGCCACAGTTCCTAAATTCTTTCTAGGAGTTTCTAATGGGTGAGTCAGGATCCACAGGAAGGGCAGAGCCTCACAGAGCGGCAGCTGTCTTAACTGGCTTCCTGTAAACCAACAAATTAGGTTACGAGATACAAAAGCCCTGCAGTGACTCAGGGAGGCGCTGAACCCAGAGCTGAACCCCAGTGCTGCGATCGATACGGCGTGCTCTCCTGTACACACGATGACTCACTGGCGCCTCAGGCCTGCACACACTCAGATACCAGACATGTGTGCTGGGCGGCACCCGAGCTGAGCCAGCCGCGACTGGCTCCCTCTCCCAGCAGGAGAGGTGGCCCCAGCACCAAGCCTGTGCTGAGCAGGCCGTCACTCCTTCCTCCTCAGCACTGTGCCCACCCGCCCGGCGTCGCCTGGTCTCTAAGGCTCCCTGATAGAATCTCATGTTGTAGGGTAACAGTGCTTAAGACACTCCTATTGGCCTCAGGCTTCTGAAAAATCTGCCCAGGAAGGAAGCTATGTGGCACAGTTCTTTCCCATACCTTAACAGTAAAATCCAGTTTCTTTTCCAGTACTGGGCCTGAACCCTGGACCTCTGCAGTGAGCTGCACACCCAGCCTTTCTGGTTCTGTTTTTTTCACACAAGGTCTTGCTAAATCGCTAAGCTGCCCAAACTAGGTTCAAACTTGCTATCGGCCTGCCTCGGCCGCCCAGAGTGCTGGGATAAGGCGCACTCCAGGCTGCCTTTATGCTGCGGCACTGGAGACCCACCTAGCACACACGTCCTTCACACAGGGCTGCATCCCCAGACCTGTGTTTACTTTTTATTTTTGAGACAGGGTCTCCCTAGGTCACTAAGATGTCCAGGCTGGGCTTGAACTTGTCCTCCTGCCTCAGCCTCCCAGAGTTCTGGGATTACAGGTATGTGCCACTACCTCTGGCTCCACTGCTTGTTTGTTTATTAAAATTAAAGTTTTATGTGAGAATTCGTTTTCAACTTGTAAATATTCTTATTTGACAAAAATAAAAGTTGATTATTTCATTTGAGACTATAAAGTTTTAGTAAGTTTAACACTTATGAAATCTAACTATGGAAACTGCCAGAACGTGTTTTAGGTTTGGTTTTTTGAGCCAGTGCCTCCACTGAGTTTGATTCCCAGTACCAAAAAAAAAAAAAAAAAAAAAAAGGAAAGGAAAGCCCTTTTATAACCACAGATGAGCACATCAACTGTCTTCCAACCATATGACAAAAAAAACCCAGGTAATCCATTAGTCAAGTCTTAAAGGTGTTGAATAAAAGGTCTCAGAAAAAATAGTCAGAGCCAAAGAAGAGAGAGCAGCATTACCCCACAGCCCCCGCTGACCTGACGGGTGGGAGGAGGAGAGAGCAACAGCCTGGGCAAGACCCGGCAAACCTCCTCAGAAACAAAAACACAGACTACATGTGCAACTCTGCAATCCCTGCTGCTGGTCACAAGAAAGCCAGGTGACACGGAAAGCTCCTCCCACCCGGAAGAGCAAATCCCAAGGCCCCAGCACACCGGGGGAAGAGTCTCGGGGAGTGCGAGGAAGCTAGCTTCTGACTGGGGGAGGACTGACTGTGTAAAGGGGACTGATTTGACCTCGGCGGGGGCAGTAATATGAGCATCGCACTTTAACAACTCTTAACCGCAGGCTAAACATAGCAAATGTGTTTTAGATTCTCTAGTGAAGTTACTTGGAAAAAAACACTTTTTTGTATTTTGCTGTAATAGCTTAAACTAAAGAGAAAATGTTCACATAAACACAGTTTTGTTCCAGTCAGTACTCAGGTATGTTTTATTTTTAAATCACACTGTGGCAGCTGTGAGTTTAGCTGCCAGGGTCCTGCCACCCCGCCCCAGTGTCACCGAGCCAAGCAGTGTAAACACACATGCCCATCTCCTGTACGCAAACCTTTGACACTTTAAAATAACTGTTCCCATTAGAACTTTTACATCTAGTAGTATTCATTTTCATGAGGAACAATCTCTATAAGACAAAATTCATGTACCTCAAGTAATCCTTGACGTCAACATTTTTCTCAGTTCTCCTAAGAGTCCTTGGGGGGTAGAGTTCAGTGGTAGACCAGTGGCCTGTACTTCTGGACCCTGAGCTTGAGCTCCAGTACCATGGGGGGGGGGGGTGGGGCTGGGGATTTAGCTCAGCGGCATAAGCACCTGCCTTGCAAGCAGGTGGTCATGAGTTCGATCCCTGGTACTGATAAAAAGTTAAAAAAAAATAATGTAGGTAATGTTGAAATACTCATATCCAAATAGTTTTAGATCTACTGCCAAAATTTAGGTTTTCTCAATTAAAATGAGAGGAAGCTGGCCAAGGTGACTCAGTCCTATAATCCCAGCAATCTGCAGGCTGAGGCAGGAGGATCACCACAAATTCAAGGCCAGCCTGGGCTACTTAGTGAGTTCAAGACCAGCCTGAATTACACAGTGAGACTGTCTCAAAAATAAAAAGTAAAATGAGAGGAAGTGATTTTATTGCTGGAAAATACATTAATTCTCTAAAGACAGAATGGGCCTTCACAATTTAATTTCTACATAAATGTCTGAATATACAAAATATAAAATATAAACAGTAGTGTAGCAGGAAAATAAACGGGCAGAAATAATTATTCACCTCGTAATAATTAAGACCACCATTTCAAAGACTTTCTATATACCAAGAATGAGAAAATACTGCAAGACCTTACAGCATACGGTGGACCAGTCCCACACCATCACTGTTACACTTCTTTCTTCTTCAGGATGAGGGGACCCACGTTATCTCCCGTCAACTCATTGTGTTTGTTATGGGAGCCATCGCAGGCAGGGAACTACAGAGAAAAGAATTACAAGTGCTACTTTAAAACTATGATTAAGTAGAAATATTTGCCAAATGCTGTCACTAAGTACATTACTTGCTTAAAAAGATTCATCAGAGCTTTGTGCAGTGGCATTATCACAGCCACTAAGGTTTATCCAAGACACAATTATTGCTAATTGAAAACGATTCATCAGACAGTCTTAATACATTTATTTTACCACATCCTGCTACTAAAGCAAATCCATCCATCTAAATTGTTAAATCTCTGTGAGGCAAGATTTTAAATTAAAACCCTGGGCTGATTCTATGATTTTTTTTTTGTCTTTTTTTTATCGGTACCAGGGATCAAACTGACGACCACATACTTGCAAGGTAGGGGCTTATGCCGCTGAACTAAATCCTCAGCCCCAATTCTCTGAGTTTTTAAAAAGAATCAAAATGAGCTTTGTCTCTGTGGAGCTCTAAATTTGAGGGTGCCTCTTCATTCATCTTTAAAAAATGGAAATAAATTCAAAATCCACTGTAATGTTTTCTTACTAGAAAACTCATATACAGACTAAGTTTTTTGAAAAATTTTAAAAATGAATTTTAGGGGCTGGGGATTTAGCTCAGCAGCATAAGCACCTGCCTTGCAAGCAGGCGGTTGTGAGTTCGATCCCGGTACCGATAAAAATGAAAAAGACAAAAAAAAAAAAATGAATTTTAACACCTTAACTCACGATCCACCCAGATACAGGTAAGAATAACATTTAGTAGAGATTTCTTCTGTGCCTGCTGTGGTCTGTTTTTGGGGGGGCAGGGCTGAGACCTGCTGTGCAGCTAGGCCTGCCCTCAGCTAACCCACTGTCTGCAGCCCCCCAAGTGCTGTGACTCAAGGTCTGCATTACACTCAGGTTTTTTTCATTCCTTTTTTGAGACAGGTCTTGCTATGTAGCCCAGGACAGCTTTGAAGTCACAGCAATCCTCCTGGCTCTGCCTCCAAGATGCGTGGATTACAGGGTGCAATACACATCTGGCCTGTTTTGGGAGAGGGCTGGAGGGTTGAGACAGGACTTCACTATGTAATGCAAGCTGGCTTCAAACTCACAGCAACTCTCCTGCTTCAGCCTTCTAAGTGCTAGGATCACAGATGTATACTACTAAGCCTGGCTTCATTCATTTTTAAAAATAAAATTGGTGTCACATTATCACCTGCTTTTCTTGTATTAAATCAGGATCTCATTAAATATTCCTTAAATATCATATTCCAAAAACATGATTTGTTTATAGCTCCTGGATATTCCATTTGTATTATACTATAATTTTCCCATTATCAGATAGTTTCTAAAGTTTATTACAAAGGATGTTGAGATAAACAACATTGTGCTTACACTCTCAAATAATGTATGATCAAAGCAGCACGGGCAAACAGGCCCCGTCAACCCTGACACTTCTCATGCCAGCCCCGTATCCTCCTGGGCGGCCCTGATGGGCTTTGTCCTCTCACTGGGCCCAAGCTCACTCTGCAGAGCTAGTTTCTCCCTCGATCTTCACTTTTACTTTCTCAGACTTTGCCACTGTCAATCAAATCATCGTAGGACAGCCACCCTTTACCAGCACCTACTGTGTGAGATATTTTACAAAGCCCGAAAACACATCTGCAATACTGGTGGGGTAGCAGCAATCACGGGGGGCGAAGTGCGCTTGGGAACAGGACTTCACACTGGACGCAGCGGAAAGCACCCCAGCAGACCGCAGACCCCGAAGGCAGAGGCAGAGGCGGAAACACGTCTTACCGTCTTGGAGCGCCAGCACCGGCAGTATGCTGCTTTCGTGAGACACAGATCTTCGATGTTTATTTCATTCACCACCTTGGGGTTTTCCTTCTGGATCTTAAGGTTTATCAAGCTATCCTTCTGTTGTTTCTTCTTCGGGAAGAACGGGCGGATGGCGAGGTAGCCGAGCAGGGCGAGCACGCCCAGGAAGGGCAGCAGCCGGAGCCATTCTGCAACTGAAGATGCACAGTCAGCCGCTCTGCCACTGCCCGCTGCCCACACTACAACCCTGAGGTGCACTCGCATCAGGCCCTACTCGAGAAGTGCAAGCGAACTTGAGACTTAGGAAGTAGAGCTCAGCATGTCCATGGAAGCCAGGGTCCGTGTCTAAACCCCCCGGCCTCCTGCCTGGGCCGGGCTACACCTAGGCTGTGCGGTGCTGGCCTGGCAGGGCCCAATGTCTAGCCCAGCCCGCTGATGGTCAGGCACAGCTCCAGCGCAGGTAATGGGAAACACTCGGCTGCGAGTAGTTACCACCCTCCCTCCCCGGGAGGTAGCACAGGGAGAGGGGTGGCTGCAGCTGCCTCTGCTACCTCTGCTTTGCAGTCTTCCGCCTGCCCTGCCTGCCCTGCCTGCCCTGCCTGCCCTGCCTGCCCTGCCTGCCCTGGACTGGACTGGCTGCCGACTGCGCCGGGAGGGCTGCACACTGAGAACCAAATAAGCCTCTCCTCCTTGAAAGACAGGGGTCGGGGCTCTCGTCCCAGGACCAAGCAAAGACACTGTGTTTGTCTCTACTCTTATCAGGAACTGCAGCCACCATAATAATAAACAGAACTCAACTGTGACATATTTTATATGTTTATGTTTAGCAAACATTTTCTTTTTTTTTTTTTTTGGCCATACTAGAGACTGAACCAGGGTTTGTACTGAGCTACTTCTACAGGTTTTTTTTGTTTTTTTTTTTTTCCAATTGAAACAGGGTCTTGATAAACTGCCCTAACTGGACTTAAACTTGTGATCCTTCTGCCTCAGCCTCCCAGAGTAGTGAGATTACAGGTGTGTGCCATGATGCCCAGCTGCAACTTTTCTCCTTATCATGTCCAAATCATACAAGGGCCAGGGTTATAGGTCAGCGGTACAGGCACCTGCCTGGCACGCATACACTCATGATTTCAATTCCTGGAACCAAAAAAATTTAAAAATAAAATAAAACCATACAAAAGAATATCCATACTTTTTTATCACTGATTTATAATTTCTTTTTTGAGGGGTCTGGGTGGAGACGAGGTCTCACATGTAGTTCGGGCTGTCTTTGGACTCGCTATATAGCCCAGGCTGGCCTCAAATGCCCAGTGATCCTCCTGCCTCTGCTTCAATTTCTTTTTTCTTCTTTTCTTTTTGGTAAATGTTCCTAAATTACAAAATGTTGTGTATGTTCTCACTGTAGAATAAAGCTCATCTGTGCTAAGATGGAATAAAATGGTGTGTGGGGCGGGACATCACTTTGCCTGTGGACACAAACACGTCAAGACTCGTCAGACAGTGGTGGGCGGGGACTCGGGGCGGGGACTCGGGGCGTGGGCCTCACTCGTCACGCAGGGCCCTCCTTGCATGACATCAGGGGTTGTGCAAGTCATTTTTCTAAACTAAAGCCTGTGTTCTGGTGCAACTGCAGTGCTGGCACTTTTGAGGTGAGTGAGTCAGTTCTGGCTCACACTTTGAGGACCTGAGGGGCCAAACGATTCGCCGTTGCTCCTTTAAGACGAGTGTGCTCCCACACAAGCATCAAGTCTCTGTGAGGATCCTGGTTTGAAATCAAAGGTACTACATGTATTAACTGTACAGAAATCCTGTTTGCCTTCCTTCGCTGAGTGCCTCCCAGCACCTTGCTAGGTGCTAGGCAGAAATAGCCACATCAGGGAAAAACAGGAAACTGCACTAAGGCGCGTGCTAATGAATATGGCTGGGGATGTGGCTCGGCGGTACAGCACTTGCCTGGGGTTCAATCCCCAGCCCCAAAACAAACAAACCAAACTCACAAAGTAGACAAGTACTGTACAAGAAAAAAGGTATTACCACTGACAATAAATGAAGCCACGCATGGTGGTATACACCTGTAATCCCAGCTCTATGGAGGCTGAGGCAGGGGATGGCTGTGAGTTTGAGGCCAGCCTGGGCTGCAAAGCGAGATCAAGGGCTGCCTGAACTGCAGTGAAACTCTGTCTCAAAAAGACCAAAAAAAGTTATTCTACTTGTTTCAATAAATTAAAAAACGTGGGGCTGGAGATACAGCTCAGGGACACAGCATGTGCCTGACAAGTACAAGACTGAGTTTGATCCCAGGTACCAAAATGAAACAACAACAACAAAAAATTTAAAAAACCACAAGAAATTAAATTGCCAAAATGCATATGAATTAAGACAGTAAAGGTGAAGACCTTAAGGACTCTTAAGAGTCGGCCTGTCTTAATTTACCAAACTGAGGAAACATAGTATTAACAATGTTTTTAAGTCTACTTCAGAGAATGTTCTTTTAAGCCAGGCGTGGTGCTGCACACCTGTAATCTCAGCACTGGGAGGCTGAGGCAGTAGCTTGCTGTGAGTTTGAGGCCAGCCTGGGCTACGTTAGTGAGTTCAAGCCCAGGCTGAACTGCATAGCACAACGCTGTATCAAAAAAATCCTCCCCAAAAAAATGTTCTTTAAAATACTTGATTCTTCGGGAAACCACTTCTCTAAAGCAGTGTGATAATGAGAGGTAAAAAGTGTACACAGTAAGGACTCCAGACCAAGTGCAACCCACTTCCTGATATGGTACACACCAATGGTTCCCAAAAAGGAAACAAGGCCTGAAAGCTCAGTTCAAATCATTTTAAGTATATTTATTAATGATGATTTTTAGTGGAAAATATCAAATACAGAAAAAGTAAACAAGAAACTTTAAAAACTTTTACTTGATGTACACTGTACAGGCTGTGCTCCTGTAATCCCCATGGCTCTGGGTGGTCTCCTGCCTCGGCCTCCCACAGTGTAGGGATTACAGGGTGTAAACTCAGCAAAATGTAAGTCATTTTACAAATAACTATGCACACACCTGTGTCATTTCCATCACCCCAGGAAACTGTTCTGAGACCATTCCAATCAAACGCCTTTTGTGATTCTGATCATCAACTGCACTCCTGTCAGCCAACCTGTCTCCATCCTTCTGGTCACCCAGAGCTCTCAGGGTCAGACCCCACACAGTACAGTGCTGTAGGGGCTCTGCTGCTTCTGTGCCAGGGCTGGCACAGGGTCTACACTGTGCAGGATGCCAGGAAACAACTAAGCCCAGTCTGTCCATGGGATAAGGCCAGGTTTTCCTGTACCTACTTGGGGTCCAACCCTCCACTGCTTGGTTCAAAAGTATCCACATTCCAGTGACACAGGCTGACAGCAGACAAAGGGAGGAGGAGACAAACAATAAGCAAGCAAACCAATAAACAAGACAGTCACAGGCTGTACTAAGAGCAGGAAAGAAAATAAATAGGATGATGCGAAAGAAGAATGTGTGGCCTGGGCTGGAGGCACCACCTGGAATCCCAGCTCTGCGAAGCTGAGGCAGGAGGACCAAGGGTTTGGGGTCAACCTGAGGTACACAGCAAGACCCTGTCTCTAAAAACCGAAAAACATTAAAAGAAAAAAAAAGCAACCAAGGGCAGGGCAGCAAGCTAACAGCAAATTCAGATAAGCGGGTGCTAAGAGAGGTTTCTTAAATCTAAGGACCTTTAAGCCTAAATGTGAGGTGACGCCAAGGCCCAGAGGCATGCCCTTAGAGGCACACAACAGTGCGCGGAGCAGTTGGCTTCCAACAAAGTGAGAGGAGCAATGCCAGACTGCGGCCAAGAGCGCTGGCACGGCTCTGCCTGCCGACAGCTCCACACATGCCCACTGCCCACCGAGCAGAAGCTCCCACCTTCCTGCAGGCCACAAATCGAGCCAGCCGGAGTCCGAAAGCATTGAGATAATTCAGTGAGGTCTGAACCTGTTTACCTTCAGGGCTGCTGAGTGCCAGTTAAACTCCAGGAACACTGTTTAAAATCTTTTAAGAAAAGAAGTTTCAGGGGCTGGGGGTTTAGCTCAGCGGCATAAGCGCCTGCCTTGAAAGCAGGCAGTCGTGAGTTCGACCCCCGGTACCGATAAAAAGGAAACAGACAAAAAAAAAAAAAAAATACAAAAAAAAGAAAAGAACTTTCAGTACTCTCTAGAACTATCATGAGCACATCAAGTGATGCAACAAATACTACAGACACCACAATTGCAAGACACTGTCCCTACCACAAGGGCCCCTCCCTCCGGAAGGCCGGATCGACCCATAGTGCAGGTTTATGGGGTTGTGTAACACTGGACTTTATAACACCGGGCTGGATACGTTGGACTTCATAACACTCCACAGGCTGGAGGTGAGAAGAGCAGTGGCTTCTCCCCGGGGGTCAGCACAGGCCCAGGGAGGCGGGGCCCAGGGAAGGCAGCCCTCGCAGAGAGGACCCTCATCAAAGGCTGGGCAAACTCCACGCCCTGGCACAACTGGAACACTAATGGAGAATGAGAGAGGTCTGCAGAAGCAAGCAGCTGCCCCATGACAGGCTCTGCTAGGCAACAGGTGGGAAGGGATCCACCCTGCATCTCACAGCAAACCACTGAAATACCCAGGCACCGATTTCCCTAGAAAATTTCTCACTGACCAACCCAATCCAAGCCGGCACCTGACGAAACACAAATGAGGGCCACACAGAGGAGCAGAGAGATGGGAGAAGAGTGGAACAGCCTACCAGAAACACAAGGAAACAGACCAGATGAAACCAAAGCACTGCAACTACAACAGCAGCCACTAAGCAGAGGACAAAGGACAAATGTGAGAAATCCTCTCCCCTGGGTCCCTACGCTGCCCAAAATAAGCTGCACATGCATTTTCTGAGAACAGCACAGATCTCAGACAAGGCCTGAGATCAACTCCCGTCGCCTGCACATCTAAGAACCACCAACCCAACTAGGAAAACCAGTAACAGAGGCTGGGGATTTAGCTCAGCGGCATAAGCGCCTGCCTTGCAAGCAGGCAGTCGTGAGTTCGATCCCTGGTACGGAAAAAAAGACCAAAAAAAAGAAAACCAGTAGCCTTCGGTGGCTGATGAGTACAGAGCATGGTTTAATGGGGTGATGGTCCTTCATAATTACTAGATTTCTAACTTTATTTTGTGGATG